CGACGACCTAAGCAACAGTGGTAACTCATTAACGTAGAGAAGGAAGAGCAGAGGGCCTAAGATGGTGCCTTGGGGTACACCACTTTTGACCGGCTTCCAATCGGATAGCGTTCCATTGACCCTAACTCTCTGTCTGCGGTCACATAAGAAATTTCCTATCCACTCATGTGCAGTGCCTATTATTCCGAAGCTCGTGAGCTTCTGCATAAGACCTGAGTGTGAAACCTTGTCAAATGCTTTGCTAAAATCTATGAATATCACATCGACAGACAGACCGTTATCTAGGGCTGCTGTCCAATCCTCCCTCGCAATAAACAAGTTAGTCAAGCATGAACTCTTGTTACGAAATCCGTGTGGCTCAGGAGCTAACAGAGTGTGAAACTATGTGGCTTAGCAACTTAACTGGAATTATCTTTTCAAGTAACTTGACGACAATGCTAGTTAGACTGACAGGCCGGTAGTTAGATACTATCTGTCGCTGACCGTCCTTAAATATAGGACTAACTATAGCGTCCTTCCAATCTCTAGGGAGTTGAGCGAGTAAAAGGGACATGTTGGAGAGTGTCGCGAGCGGTTTTGAAATAATGTCCGCAAGAGATGACAGCAACCGTGGATGTAACCCGTCAGGGCCCGGTATCCTACCAAATTTGAGGTCAGTTATCAACGGAAGAACAGTTTCCTCAGTCACCTGTACAGATTCAATGGTTGGTATCTCGGTGTGAGTGGGACAAGTATTTGTTACAATAAACGTAGAGAAGACTTCCGTAAAATAGTCTGAAAACGTCTCAGTTTTCGCTCGATGCGATTCAGCTAGTAATTCTGAATTTTCGTGTAACAGCAACGGGGGAATACCATCACTACGTTTCGTCCGCCGTTTAACATACGAAAACAATCGTTTCGGACAAGTACGGCTGTCATATACTAACTGTCGTTCGTAAGTGGTACGGGATTTGGCTATGGTTTTCCTACAGATATTACGGAATTTTTTGGTACTCACGCTTAAATGGTGCATGACATGTCAGCAAGAATAAGTCCCAGAAATGTTTCCTACGCTTTAACAGCTTCCGGGTTTCCTTATTAATCCATGGAGGGCAAAGTGATAGCTTACGTGCTGACCATGGGATAAACGGCGACGTTACGGTCTCGAATGTAGCCTTAAACTTATTCCATTCATCTTCGATCAATACATCCGCGTCGACCGACCAGTCAGTCGAGATAGCACAGTTTCTGATTTCCGGAATATTAGCTCGCCAGATATTGGGACGGGATGGAGCAGATACGAATTGTATGCCATGTATCCTAAACTTAAAGTGAATTACAACGTGATCATTGTTAACTAGTGGGGGAAGGTGCTGAATATCGAAGACATCCTCACAGTGGTGGGTGAGGGCGAGGTCCAGCAGTGACGGATCATGTTGCAAATCAATATGTGTCGGTTTTGTGATACATTGTATACGCGCACACTGAATAACGATAGATAAAACGTCGCTTTCGAAGCCACTACCTGGAGCTGTAAGCTCTATCCAGTTGACATGCGGTGCGTTGAAGTCCCCAATGATGAGACAACATTCTGCCATACTCCAAGAACAGATGTTCCTTAGGATAAAGTCGTCAGCAAGACAAAACAGACTACGGTATATTCCCCCTATAGTCACTAACCCATTGCTAGATTTAATCTTACAACATACAACCTCACATGTGCCACTGGTATGAGCCTCCGGTATGGTTGGTTGTATACGAAAGTGATCCCTAACGTATAATATTATACCTCCCCCTTTGCGACTTGAAACTCTATCACTTCTAATACAGATATAACCAGCAATGACAGGAGAACAGTCTGTATCAACGGTGAACCAAGTTTCTGTAACAACGATCATATCGGGACATAATTCCTCCACCATCAGACTTAGCTCGGACGTTTTATTTCTAAGACTACGAGCGTTCGTGTAGCACAAATTTAAGGTGTTTTGGAAATCAATCGTTCTACCCATACAGGCCTCGGAAGCATTGGCTTCCAAGACCTGACTACCCGAAAACCCTTAATGAAAAGGTTATATTCGCCATTTAATTTGCGAGTCCTCAACTCCGTAAGAGCATTCTTCCACTTGATTCGATCCTCAAGCGGCCAATCTGGTCGAATACGGTTATTTGAGTCACGAGTTTTTAGTGCGCCTTTCAATAATATGTCTTTCTTCAAAACTCCCGAGAACCAGCTTCAGGATCCTTCTTGGTTGGGTCTCGCCTCCAACCCATTTACCAAGTCGTATTACTTTTGTAATATGTACCCCCGAAACCTCTTCAGGTAGTACATTCCTCACCACAGACTCCACTAACTGCAGGTCATGTGCGTGTCTTTTAGCAGGGTCGTTGTCTTTCGACTCCTCTAGATTCCAAATAATTAAACTAGGGATGGGTTTAGCTTCTTTTGAAACTGTGTTCACAGCTTTCGACCGTGACGTTAGATCCTGTATTTTAACTACTGGTAGCTTACGATTAGTTTTTATTTTAACAGAGTCCTGGGAGTCAAGCGAATGACTAACAACAATGTCAGACGAAGCTTTACTATGAGACTTTGGCGGATTGGTCTGAGAGTCCACCAAGGACTTACCAAGTAAACAGTCATTAGTTTTAGCTATCTTTCCTACTCTTCTGCGTTTTCGCGTCATCCATTTTCCATCAGTCGAAACGTCTACATTAGAACAACTCGGGACAGTAATTGTTTTATCTGGGTCACCGGTTGCTGCTGTAGCAATATGGCCACCAATATCTAATGAGGTGTCACTCATTGATTGTTTCGGGATAGACGGTTTAATAGCGGGTCGCACAGTTAGATGTCTGGCTTGCGCCGTGACAGCGCTCACGACACTAACGCAATCTTCGCCATCAGTACCAATGTTGCCAGTACAGCCCTCATCAACCTTCTTATTAACCAACACCAGGAGACTAATTGCTTCCTGGATAAGCAGTGTTTTGCTCGAGCAACAAAAACTACAAAGCCAATGAGAGTTGGGCTTTGAGCACCTTTTATATGCAGTGGGGCTTAATCGGGTGCACATCTTATGGAACCACTTATTACACCCATCACATTGCATCCCTTCCTTCACGGGAAATAAGCAATATGGTTGTCCACATTTATGATCAGATCTAGCCATCTTGAAAATCAACTAGAACGGTGACAAAAATAGGATTCTCAAACCTTAACTAGATAAATCAAGTAAAAGTCGACCAAGTATGCTTCGATGCAATAAATACACAAAAGCAAAATCGAAACACTCAATACAATATCACTTTAACTGGGGTAGATGCAATTAAAGTGTAAACAGTAGTTTTGATGCGTAATTTACGATCAGAACAGTTAATTAACTCAACGAGAAACAATACCACTGTCCTTTTAAATAGAACTCGTGAATTTGAATTTTGATAGATTCACCCGTGTCGAAGACTTGCAGAACATGTTTCGACAATCAGATCGTTTTTATCACAAGCTTGTGTTATTTATGATTGTTGTCATTTCGTCTTGTTATCAAATGTAAGTGAATTATATTTGCTTACTGAGTTGTTGGCACAAATTTTATCTTGCTATCTTCTCTTCTAGATAGTCTAACTTACCGATCCTAAATACTCAAGCACACAATGTACTTTCAGGCTAGAAGCGAACCTACGAAAGGCTGAAAATTCCCAGGTGGCGAGAATACAATTTATGTACGAACCAATCAGATACAAGATATCGAGTCACGAATTTTGGCGCAAAATTCATCCGTATTGGCATTATAGCTGTTGTTAGTTCGTGATGAAAGCTCTAAGTCTACTTTTTAACCCTTACCATCAACTGTAAATGAGAATTCTAACTGCTTTATATCCCTCATTTAGTCCTAATCAGTAGGTGTCCACCCTCAGGGTCACTTCAGCTTCACTCAAACATCGTCCGTAAATTATACTCTCACCCCATTTCTTCTATTATCAAATTATGAATGCATTCTGTGTACTTTTATTGTCGTTCTTTTCGCCGGATTCTTCCACACTGCACCTCACGCTCTATCACACATGGTATCTTCAAGATGGACATGTCCATTCTGGTGGTCTTGGAAGACCACCAAATACTGAACACTGCGTATTTTACCCCCTTTCGCCGAAACATTTCCCTAAAAAACTATACGCCGAAGGCGAGAAATTTAGTTCTTGCCTGAATTTTCACTGCCTCCGTCTTTTCCTTTTTGCTTGGGTTTCAGTGGTCACGTTTAGGAGCAGGATAAGTTCTTAGGTATATGATTTATAAGTGGGCTTTAAGGTTTGGACTATGGATTATGTCATATGTTAATTGAATTCAAACTCAATCTGGAACTTCGGTCGTAACTCCAACGGCTAAGAACCATTAGATAACTTAGATAAGCTCATTAATCATGTAAAGCCAACATATTAGTAGTTGAGTCCTTCATTTTTTTTAAATTGTGTACTAGTCATTTATATTCTCTGATGGGCTAAGGCGGGTAAATATATTAAAGTCTTTCTGTTTACTTTAAATTTACTACTAAACTGTACATCCTAATCCCAAACCTTGCATCCTAGTAATTAATCAAATTCTAATCTTAAATCTTATCTTAACCCTAGTTATTAAATCCTGATCGTAAATTCATTTAAGAGTGACATCTCTAGGCAGTTGGCAGTATCACTTTGTCTGCGTGAAAACTATAACATCATTTGGATCGACACAATTTAGTTATGTTCTATTCACTGGATCATGAGATCAAAAAGGTATCCGGAACTTATCCCTGAAGGGTTTTAGTTTCAATATTAAAGTTCTTCATCAAAGTCATGGATTCTGTCTTCTAGTTATCTGTTGAATTGCAAGTTTACAACACTAATAATTGATGTTCATCTAGGTTTTCCAAAGTGCATAAAGTTGTCCACACATCATTCCCTAAAATCCAGTGTTATTTTTTTGTCTCTTAAATGCTTTCTTGTTTTGTTCTAAGTTGTTTCAAATCAAACATCATTATAATATGGATAATGCAGATGCTAAAGGATCTCGACGTCTCAACCCTTTTAATTGTAATACAAACGAACAGCAGAGTCTCATATCTGCTCTATATGATGGTGGGTCGTTTGTAAAGTTAATTATATCTAAATTTTTTTATAGCCCCAACCCTCACAAATTTCAGAGTGAAAGGTTTTTTAGAATATCTATCTAGCGATTATTTCAGCATACCCTTCGTAAGTCGAGCACATTTGTCTTCAAGTAATTAAGTTTTAGATATCAATAAGTTTTGTTTTTGTAGTCCCAAGTACTTACGCACTTATTTTAATCCTTCCTAGGCACGCATCAACGAGAATTCATCAGTGGAGGAGTTGAAGGATGCAATTCTCAAATGCAAACATATGTTCTTGGCTTTATCTAACGAGTCGTCGGGAAGAAAAGATCGCATATTAGATCGGTTGATTCAATTAAGGAGGATTTTACAGGATGTTAAGGTGGAGTAATATCTGTCGCCACTATTTGTCAATTATTATTGTGATTGGAACTAGTTAGTCAGTTTTACCTTGGCTTCAAGCGTACCAGAAATTCCGATTACAATTCTTGTACATCATGCTTTTCAATTAAATTTATCAAACTAAAGCATAACTCATCAGATAATAAGTAAACATAGGTCGTCTCCATATGTACTCCGAACAGCTTCTGAGTTACGTTGATTGTTTGAAAATAAGTTATTTTATGACGTTTACAAACCATTACCAGGAAACTTAGAACCTTATAAGTGATAAAGTATGTTAGTGAAATATATAAAGGACGTTGGGTTCAGAGCATCCGTTTAATATCAGACATTGCTAAACGTCGTGTAAGGAGCTATATATTAACTGAATAAAGTTCACTTAACGGTAATAACGTGTTACAAGCTCAATATAAAATAGTCCAAAATTAGTCTTACTGATAAGTCTCTACTTTTTTGTACTTCTATAAAATGTGAATGTGGTTTAGCTAAATAATCCTTGTTGGATTAGAATAAAGCTAGCTGTGTTCATATCAATCCACAGAGTTTATTAACGTTCTAATAATTTTGGTTTTTCTAGCTGGGTACATCAGCGAATTGGGGATACAAGCTTAAATAATTTGGTTCATGTGTATCAAGGTTCACAGTAGAATAGGCTCATACAGTATTTAACCTCCTAAATATATCGAGTACTTCATGATATTATGTTTATCTTTCCTGACAAATTTTCGATTCGTCTATTATAATATCCCTTTGGCTGTCGGTTTTCCGTTCCTTTTTTGTTTCACAGGAGTCTAGATCCTTGTCCTCCCTCACTTTTCACAATCCATATATAGTGTTGTCAACTGGTTTTTTGAAGAATCGATTCAAAATAATCTGACATCTCAAGTCTTTATTCTACCAAACTTTACCGTCAATTTCAACTTATGAAATATTGTACTACATTCATACTGTCAGGCATTCTGAGTAATGCCTATTCATTTTATTTCTCACTAGTACAATGCTTGGTATAACTGTATCCGACCGATTTTTCACTGCCATCACATGATTAAGTTGTTGCCGGAAGTTATCGTATCACGTTTGCTCCCAGAGCCTTTGTTCTATGGTTTTCATTGGCGTTTCCACAAAGAACTGACGTACTATGCATGTTTTGTTTGCGTTTTACATTTTTATTTCACTTTATAGTACTCGTCAGTATGTGTGAAAGTTAATTGAAATATCAGCGTTAAGGTTATTATTTGGTCGTTTCTGTTGGAGAAGGTCAATAACCACCAGTGTGGTAAAAAATTGGGATTCAGTATGTCAATGTAACGTATTCATGAATCGAGTTATTTAATTTACATATGATTAGAAGTTGGGAATACTTAATATTTTGGATTTCCCGTTGATTATGCTCCGTTAACGATTATTCCGGCAGCACTGTTAGTGTGTGTGCCGAAAACGATCGACAGGCCACTCAGTATTCTAGTCTATTCCCCAAACTACCAATCAGAACTCCAGTAATACCAGACGAGTGCCTAAAATATTCTGTATTATACGGACTGTCAAAATTGATTGATCACTGGGTGGTGCTTTGCGATCTGCACTAATAATGACTTAACACACATGACATTGATCACCATCCAGTGATCAATCAATTGTGATTACATCTCAGTCCTACAGGAGGTCGGTCGCGGTCCAGATATCTCAGTGGTAACGTCTCTGACTGTGAAGCTAGGTGACACAGGATCGAATCCGTCAGGGAGCACCAGTTCCCTTAAGCTTACAGGTACACCTTACTGACGAGTGCCAAGTAGCACGAAACCCGGGTCCCGGGCTTCCTGTCGACTACCTCGAACCACCATCTATACACACTGTAAAATTCATAATCAGATACATAAAATACTAAAATATATCATAAACAGTAAGCTTTACTTACGCTTGTTGTTCCTCATAGAGGAACATAGGCCGCTCACCAGCATTCTCCATCCAACCCTGTCCTGGGCAATCCTTTCCAGCTCCTTCCAGTTGTAATTCATCCTTTTTATATCTGCTTCTATTATCCGACGCAATGTGTTCTTTGGCCTTCCTCTTTTCCGCTTCCCATCAGGATTCCAAGTTAGGGCTTGCCTCGCATTGCAGTTTGATGATTTCTGTAATGTATGTCCTATCCACTTCCAACGTCTCTTCCTGATTTCCCCTTCAGCCGGAGGCTGGTATGTCCTCTCCAACAGAAGGCTATTGCTGATGGTATCCAGCCAATGGATGTTGAGTATCTTGCGTAGACAGCTTTTTATAAATACTTGTACTTTCTTGATTGTGGTTGTTGTAGTTCTCTACGTTTCAGCTCCATGCAGTAGAACTGCCTTGACGTTCGTATTGAAGATTCTCACTTTGGTATTGGTTGACGGTTGTTTTGAGTTCCATATGTTCTTCAGTTGTAGGAATGCGGACCTTGTTTTGCCAATCCTCGTTTTTACTTCTGCATCTGAACCTCCTCGTCCTTGAAAGATTCCACATCTTCCATAGCTTCTCCATCAAGTGTGATTGGGTTGGTGCTCTTCGTATTGTATTTGAAGATCCTGCTTTTTCTTTTGTGTATGTTGAGGCCTACTGATGTAGAGGCTGCTGCTACACTAGTTGTCTTTATCTGCATTTGTTCGTGTGTATGGGATAGGAGGGCTAGGTCATCAGCGAAGTCCAAATCGTCTAATTGATTCTGAGCTGTCCATTGTATTCCGTGTTTTCCTTCAGATGTCGAGGTCTTCATAATCCAGTCGACCACCAGAAGAAAGAGGAAGGGAGAGAGTAAACAGCCTTGTCTGACTCCGGTCCTTACTTGGAATGCATTTGTCAGCTGTCATCCATGAACCAATTTGCACTGTAGTCCGTCGTATGAGTTCCGGATAATATTGACAATCTTCTCAGGAACTCCGTAGTCTCGAAGATGTTTCCATAATATTCTCCTGTCCACACTGTCAAACGCCTCATGATCCGTAGTGTCGCAATTTGGTCTGTGGACGACCGATCCTTACGGAATCCAGCCTGGTGATCTCGAAGTTGGGTGTCTACTGCGTCTTTCATCCGGTTCAGCAACACCGTCGAAGACTTCCCCTGGTACTGACAATACTGTGATGCCTCTGTAGTTTTCACATTTGCTCAGATCTTTCTTTAGAATCTTGATGAGGTGTCCTTCTTTCCAGTCCGTCGGCACTTGTTCTAACTCCCAAATCTTCTTGAGTAGAAGGTAAAGCATGTTTGTAGTTACTTCAATGTCTGACCTCAGTGCTTCAGTTGGTATATTGTCAGATCCTTCTGCTCTCCCACTCTTTATCTGATGGTCATCTAGATTTCTTCAATCTTTGATGGAATGACATCTATGGGAAGGTCTGTATGTGCTGCTTCGATGTCCAGTGGATTCAATGGGGCTTGTCTATTCAACAGTTCCTCGGAGTATTCTACCCATCTTTTCATTTGTTCTTGAATCTCGGTGGTTGTCTTGGCTTCTTTGTGTTTGACCGGTCTCTCTGGTTTACTATATCTCCCTGCTAGTTTCTTCGTTGTATCGTAAAGCTGTTTCATATTTCCTTCTCTTGCAGCATTTTCCGCCGTCGTTGCTAGTTCTTGCCTGTATTACTGCTTGTTGGCTTTAATGCTTTTCAAGCGCTTGTTTGCTTCTGTGTACTCAGCTTGTGCTTTGACTTTCTCTGCTCGTGTTCGGCTGTTGTTAATTGCTATTTTCTTGTTCTTCGTTTCTTGAATCTTGTACAGGGTTTCCATAGAGATCCATTTCTTATGGTGATGCTTGTTGCGGCCCAGCAACTCCTGACACGTTGAAGTTAATGCTTCCTTGATGCTTTTCCAGTTGTCCTCCATAGTAGTTTCTTCTTCCTTCAGTAGATCTTGTAAGGCTTGGAACCTGTTGTTGAGAGCTATCTTGAATTCGTTGAGATTGTTAGTACCTCGAAGGAAGGAATACTGTATTGAACATTCGTAACGCTGTTCTCGCATTGTCCAGTGTTTCTTTCGCTTCAGTTTAATCTTAACCACCACCAGGTGGTGATCTGAAGCTATGTCAGCACCTCTCCTGGTTCTCACATCTTCCATTGTCCTTCTGAATTTTTTGTTGATGCAAATATGATCCATCTGGTTCTCTGTAGTGTGGTCCGGTGAGATCCATGTAGCCTTGTGTATACTCTTGTGTGGAAATATTGTGCCTCCTATGACCAATTTGTTGAATGCACATAGATTTGCAAATCTTTCTCCATTTTCGTTTCTCCCAGTCCATGTCGTCCCATAATATATTCACATCCGGTGTTGTCCATCCGGACTTTAGCGTTTCGTTCTCCCATCAGGATGGTCAGTTTATTTCCTGAATACTTCGCTGTGATTGATTGCAGCCTCTCATTGAACTGATCTTTATTGTCGTTGTTGCTATCATTGTTGGGTGCACAACATTGGATAAAATTCATTTTGGTCCCCTCATTCTTTGTTTTGCATGATGCTTTGATAATTCTGGATCCGTGAGATTCCCGTCCTACAAGTGCATTTCGGGCTTCTTTGGACACCATTAGAGCAATTCGCTGAGTGTGTGGAGCATTTTCTTCGTGACCGGAGTACAGCAGCATCTCTCCCGTATCTAGCCTTTGCTGTGCAGCTTGAGTTCAATGGGTTTCGCTGATTCCCAGTACTGCCAAGTTGTATCTCCTCATTTTCGTTGTTATTTGACTGGTCTTCCCGGTTTCCCACATTGTTCGAACGTTCCATGTACCTATAAAAATTTTTGCTCTGGTTGTTAGAAGGGGCATCGGCCTCGTGGCTTCCGTAGGAACTTGGCTTTCACCATGAGCCATCATAACTCTTTTAATTGAAGATTTTCTAACTTCCAGGACAGAGTTTAAATGGTTCGAATTAATTTTTCTGGTTAGCGTTTTATAGCGATTTGGTTTTCTACGGGATGGAGTCGCTAACCCCATGCCCAACCCTCCCCCTTTACCCGGGCTTGGGACCGTCAGTAACTCGAGAAGATCTACAGGCAAAGTTAGTAAGCTTTACTATGGTGCAAAACTGAATAATAGGTTTGTGATTAGTTTACCTAATTCTCTACCCTTAACACTAAATTTAAGATTCTTTCGAATCTACGTTTCCCCTTATTTCTAGCATTTTTAGCCACACGTAAATATTTAGTAGGTTTGCATTTCATTTTTCTATGCTTACTTATTCGTTACAGCCTTTGTTATTATTTTTAACTCGATAGGAGTTCTCAGGTGTGTCGACGAAACCAAGTTCCTGTTATTTCGGATCTTCACCTCGTTTTTCAGAGCTATATTTATTATCACGTAGCTTATCTCAGGTGTCTCTGCCATGTTTGCCTTACCGAATTATGGGTCCTGAGGGTTCACGTCCATCTATGCACCATACTCCTTTCCCTGGTGGTCACGATTTCCAAAGTGTTTCTGCGATGCGTCATCTGGGTGGAACGTGCGAATATTGTAGGCACTCAATTCGTGGTCTGGTTGGCAAAATATTACGTTGTCAGGCATGTGGTGTTATGTGTCATTTTGATGGATGTCTTAATAGCCTAACACGTCGGTGTCCAGGTGCATTACTTTTTCCTGGTACTAGTACTAAACACTATATGGGATTTCGGCGTTTGCGAACGGAAAGTGAAAGCGGCACTCATAATAATCCAAAGTTTCATCTTACTGGAGTTCCTTTATTTGATACTAGACGTCGTATTTCATTTAAACATTTGGAAGTTTCCAACTTATCTTTTCTTTCGGCAGATCTAACTTTACAATCATGGACTTGTGCAGAATGTATGAGATCCATTGATTTTACACGATCATATACAGTTTTATCAGGACGTTTGAATACACGTAATCTGGGTAAAACGATCAATGAGGTCATTGAAACGGGTATTGGTGTACTTATTGGAAAAGCTTTTCAAGATATATTACCAAAACACAACTCTATAGATCACGTGACGTCTTACCTAAGTTCTCAACAGTTGTCTTTGCCTACCTATTTATTGAAACCTATTTCTACAGGACCATCTGTAGTAGGATCCAATCAATCAACTGATAACCTAAAAAAATATGCTGCTTTTGCTTCTCATAGCGCTTCTGAACCAATCCAAACATGGTATGACGCGTTTGTTATGGAGGCATTTGGAGAAGTCAGTCGTCGGATTTCATCATCCTTATTTATCAAAACTCAAAACGGACGCTTAACGATAGATAAACAAGCAAGTGAGCTAAATGTATTAGAGAATTATGCTGCAGACACTGCATGCACTATGGATTCTGCTCGTTTATGCTACTACTCAGGATATTTTTATTGTTCTAGGTGTCATTGGGGAGATACTCACCAAATTCCAGCTTGGATGTTTGTTTTGGGTGATTATGAACCTAAACCGGTAAGTCTATTCATATTCTTAGATTTGATTCAATATGGTCGAACAAAGTTGCTTGAAAAACAAGAAAGTGCTTATGAAATTTGTTTTGTTAGTACTTATGATTTTAATAACTTTCCAAAAACAATATTTTCTCAGTCGTATGTAATTTCATCAGGTAAATAATATAATCTGCTATAGATTGGTTGCATACACATATCTTTTCACTCCTAATCATTTCGTGACCTTTAGGCTTGCAGTAGTTGAGGCTTCTCATTCTTCATTTTAAATTTTGCTAATAGTTTTATTACTCAAGTAAATAAATATATTTCTCACACACTCCTGGGTTAGTTAAGTTGCATTTAGATGTCTTTTAAACCTCTCACTATAATTATTTGATGCGTGTTAAATAATCAAAATAATATCACAATTTCAATGCTTACTAAAATGTCGGTAAAATTGTTTGATCCGTCAGTAAAACGGTGGTTTCTATACATTACTTAATTACGCCTGTTACTCCTCGTGAAGGAGCATAGGCCGCTCACCAGCATTCTCCATCCAACCCTGTCCTGGGCAATCCTTTCCAGCTCCTTCCAGTTGTAATTCATCCTTTTTATATCTGCTTCTATTATCCGACGCAATGTGTTCTTTGGCCTTCCTCTTTTTCGCTTCCCTTCAGGATTCCAAGTTAGGGCTTGCCTCGTGATGCAGTTTGATGATTTGCGTAATGTATGTCTTATCCATTTCCATCGTCTTTTCCTAATTTCTTCTTCAGCTGGAAGTTGGTTTGTTCTCTCCCACAGAAGGCTATTGCTGATGGTATCCAGCCAATGGATGTTGAGTATCTTGCGTAGACAGCTTTTTATAAATACTTGTACTTTCTTGATTGTGGTTGTAGTTCTCTACGTTTCAGCTCCATACAGTAGAACTGTCTTGACGTTCGTATTGAAGATTCTCACTTTGGTATTGGTTGACGGTTGTTTTGAGTTCCATATGTTCTTCAGTTGTAGGAATGCGGACCTTGTTTTGCCAATCCTCGTTTTTACTTCTGCATCTGAACCTCCTCGTCCTTGAAAGATTCCACATCTTCCATAGCTTCTCCATCAAGTGTGATTGGGTTGGTGCTCTTCGTATTGTATTTGAAGATCCTGCTTTTTCTTTTGTGTATGTTGAGGCCTACTGATGTAGAGGCTGCTGCTACACTAGTTGTCTTTATCTGCATTTGTTCGTGTGTATGGGATAGGAGGGCTAGGTCATCAGCGAAGTCCAAATCGTCTAATTGATTCTGAGCTGTCCATTGTATTCCGTGTTTTCCTTCAGATGTCGAGGTCTTCATAATCCAGTCGACCACCAGAAGAAAGAGGAAGGGAGAGAGTAAACAGCCTTGTCTGACTCCGGTCCTTACTTGGAATGCATTTGTCAGCTGTCATCCATGAACCAATTTGCACTGTAGTCCGTCGTATGAGTTCCGGATAATATTGACAATCTTCTCAGGAACTCCGTAGTCTCGAAGATGTTTCCATAATATTCTCCTGTCCACACTGTCAAACGCCTCATGATCCGTAGTGTCGCAATTTGGTCTGTGGACGACCGATCCTTACGGAATCCAGCCTGGTGATCTCGAAGTTGGGTGTCTACTGCGTCTTTCATCCGGTTCAGCAACACCGTCGAAGACTTCCCCTGGTACTGACAATACTGTGATGCCTCTGTAGTTTTCACATTTGCTCAGATCTTTCTTTAGAATCTTGATGAGGTGTCCTTCTTTCCAGTCCGTCGGCACTTGTTCTAACTCCCAAATCTTCTTGAGTAGAAGGTAAAGCATGTTTGTAGTTACTTCAATGTCTGACCTCAGTGCTTCAGTTGGTATATTGTCAGATCCTTCTGCTCTCCCACTCTTTATCTGATGGTCATCTAGATTTCTTCATCTTTGATGGAATGACATCTATGGGAAGGTCTGTATGTGCTGCTTCGATGTCCAGTGGATTCAATGGGGCTTGTCTATTCAACAGTTCCTCGGAGTATTCTACCCATCTTTTCATTTGTTCTTGAATCTCGGTGGTTGTCTTGGCTTCTTTGTGTTTGACCGGTCTCTCTGGTTTACTATATCTCCCTGCTAGTTTCTTCGTTGTATCGTAAAGCTGTTTCATATTTCCTTCTCTTGCAGCATTTTCCGCCGTCGTTGCTAGTTCTTGCCTGTATTACTGCTTGTTGGCTTTAATGCTTTTCAAGCGCTTGTTTGCTTCTGTGTACTCAGCTTGTGCTTTGACTTTCTCTGCTCGTGTTCGGCTGTTGTTAATTGCTATTTTCTTGTTCTTCGTTTCTTGAATCTTGTACAGGGTTCCATAGAGATCCATTTCTTATGGTGATGCTTGTTGCGGCCCAGCAACTCCTGACACGTTGAAGTTAATGCTTCCTTGATGCTTTTCCAGTTGTCCTCCATAGTAGTTTCTTCTTCCTTCAGTAGATCTTGTAAGGCTTGGAACCTGTTGTTGAGAGCTATCTTGAATTCGTTGAGATTGTTAGTACCTCGAAGGAAGGAATACTGTATTGAACATTCGTAACGCTGTTCTCGCATTGTCCAGTGTTTCTTTCGCTTCAGTTTAATCTTAACCACCACCAGGTGGTGATCTGAAGCTATGTCAGCACCTCTCCTGGTTCTCACATCTTCCATTGTCCTTCTGAATTTTTTGTTGATGCAAATATGATCCATCTGGTTCTCTGTAGTGTGGTCCGGTGAGATCCATGTAGCCTTGTGTATACTCTTGTGTGGAAATATTGTGCCTCCTATGACCAATTTGTTGAATGCACATAGATTTGCAAATCTTTCTCCATTTTCGTTTCTCCCAGTCCATGTCGTCCCATAATATCTTCATATCCAGTGTTGTCTTTTCCGATTTTGGTATTTAGTTCTCCCATCAGAATAGTTAGGTCCTTTCTTGGGCATTTCTCTATGATTGACTGCAACCGGTTTCTATACATGTAAGCGGTTAATAGTCTTGCTGTACTCCCACAAGAATTGTGGTTCTGATCGTGAGTCTAATGACAAGACAATCGTTACTCTGTGAGCACAATCCTTTGTCTAGTTAAACATTACTTCTAACCCACTCATTTTAAGTTCATAGGTCGCTTGTTTTTACTTTTCATATGTAAAGAAAACATCACATAGGATAATAAGTTACTGTAAATGGTTCTCAACTTTTATATAGGTATGTCGAACTGCGTATTTGTGGCTAAATTATGCTTGGTCACGCCATTTATTCCGCGTTCCTGTATCGTGGTATTATCATGAACCGTTGGCCAGACAAGTATGTTCTATTCGTACTAGGATTTTCAGACTACAACCATACTTCAATATATGTTCAGGTGCAAAACTCTGCAGTTTAGATTTTGAAGTAAGAATACATACTTTTGCGCAAATTAAGAATTCTTGCTTAGATACTAAGTAACAACTTCAGTGAAGAAATATGTCCTTTTAATTCACTTTAAATCGTGACTCGATACTAATTTATTCATTTTTATAATTGATGATGAAACTTGTACAAATAAACTGGTGGCAAGTTTGTTAACTATGCGACAGAAATTTCAGAATTATTTATAAAAAACAATAGCGAATTATTGAGGCTATAGGTAAGATATCTAGGCAAGCAGAATTATTATATTTAACTTTATAATTTGGTCCAAATTGTTTTGCAAAACTGACAAACTACGTAATAACTAGTAAAAGAATTCAAAAACCGTATAAAATGTTCTAACGATTGGTAATTACGAATAAAATGTTGAATATCAGCATTAGTTATAAAAGCGACAATAATTACAATGTGAAAAAGTAGCATATCATGTGTAAATCATCCATGACATATGTTGTAAGGCGAAAGCTCGAAGAGTGATTGTCCGAATCTCGGCGAAATAGAAATTTATATACTCTTTCTTAGTTAATAAATATATAAATGGACAATCAGTCTGTCACTAAATAATGTATTATGTATGCCTGAACACCGATTACCACGACGTGCAATGCTAACCGGTGTAGGGGATGGTTGGAAGAAAGTTAGGGGCGGCCAAACCAAAACGTGGCATCAGTGCCTGAAGTCACTAACTTCTAGTCTGAGCCATGCAGACTACTTGGTTGGGGTCCGCGTGACTTTCGTAACCAATGGTTGGAGACTCTTGGTGACATGGCTCAGAATCGATCACAATGGCGTCGGTGTATACACTCCCTGTCTTCCCTTAAACTAAGAGATTAAAATCACTTCATATCTTTCTTTCTACGAACTAATTCTTTCTTCCTATACTATATCCTTATTGCAACCTTTGACCTAACCACTCCTATGAATCCGGTGTTCATCTTGCTGTGCTAATGAGGTATGGCAACCTGGACCGATGCACATATGTGCCTGGTCCTACGTTGTAGCTGACTGACTGACTGACACTAAATAATGTATAGGGTGGTTTTATGTGACATATAATGTACCTTGAGGGTTGTAATAAGTTTTTATTGTCCTAAAACAGAGTATTTCCGTTACCAAAACCCATTCATTTCATAAGCCAGTATATGTCTGGGTACTTTATTAGGTCATATATACGATTACCCACAATTTTTGGAATATTTATATAAAGGTTCGATGGGAGGTCGAAAAACAGTCTCAAACCTCGTGAATGAAATCCCTATTTTAAAGTGCTTGCGTACTACAGTGTCCATTATTCAATACTTCAGTAGTGATGTACTTTGGTTGTAAACTTAATTCAAGTAAAAAGGAACGAGTTCTTATCAATTTATGTTTCGGGAAGAATTTAGATCTTCAGGGGTAAATTATTTCTTGTAATTTCGCTTTAGCAGAATATCACTTTCAGTTTATATAGTGGGATAATGAACCTTTTCTTATGAATGCTACACAGTATAGGCACTAATTGTATCACCTACAAAGCTATTCACAAATCAATTGCTAACTGTAGGATTGGCTTTTGAATTTCGCGCATAAACCTAAAGTTCTACACTACAAAAACGTTTTCTGATCAGTACAATGACTCTATTCCTTTTAATCTTTCATTTACACCTCTAGTTATTCTTTTTTTAAAAAAATTAAATATATAATTCCAATGTTTTTACACAATTAACTAATTTAGGATTGCTTGATTTACGCTGATTTTATTGTTGGCTATTAGTTAAGGCGAGTTAGAAAGATATTTCTACGCCCAGTTCGTACTTTGTTTAAGCAAGCTTCTAATCACTTACGCATGCTGTATAAATTGTTATTTACTCAGTTAAGCACATCATAGTGTGAAAAAACACCACAAAATGCACCTGACAAATGAAGCTACAATATTGTAAAGAGATTAAAAAAAAGAAGGATAGCGCAGTCGATAAACAAATGAACAGAAACGTTATGTCATAAAAGATTGGATTCAGTTGAAAATAAAATCAAGAGAGCTTTGTTGTAGTCAAGAGAGCTCATGTCTTTTCTAAGAATAAAAATCTACAGAAGGATCACCACCAGCTCTTACACTCTCATATCTCTTAGCGCCTCAAGCTGCTGAACGGCACCATATCTAGAACTCTAACTGGGAAATCTTGATGAACCGATAGATCTTAGTTTTAAGTTGTTATCTTTCGTATCACATCTTTGTATCGTAACCCAAATACTTCTCCACTTTTCTTGCTCAGTTCGGAAAATAACGGGCAATATGGGAGCCACTGAGACTACATTCGTAATACATAATAGCAATCGGTGTTTCAATAGTGCCACCAACTGAAATATCATCACTATCCCTGAACACATGTTCATGAATGTTGATAGTGAATGTGACCAATCCTTCAGAACAAGAGAATCTGAACTGCTGTCCGAGGTACGAGAGCGCTGTTTTACTTCTCAGATGACTTGAAATGGGAACTAAATCAGCAGTTATCTTAGTGACCTAAAGCCATGACCACAGAGCCCAAGTGATAGATGCTTAAGGTCAATCACACATCGTCTTTTTGTGAGAGGTTTTTGCTGTCTTGGTCCCGTACTTCAGAAGTCTCACCAGCAGAGACACCTATCCTTGGGTTGAGGTTAGGTGTGACGATTTAGAGTGAGCTTTTATAAAAACTTTATTTTGTTATGAGAAGGCAGCATCGCTATAGACACTGGTTACTCTAAAGAAACACACCCCAGTACAGTAAACAGGACGAATTTGTTCTCGAATCTTAAGTTGCTTCTTTTGATGCTCAAGAAACATGTGTTGCAGCCAGTTTAGCTCGGTTCAGTCGTTACGATAGGCAAACTTGACCACCACGTCAAGACAGCAACTGCAGCATAAGTTTAATTACATTTAGTCTTCTCGTGTTAACTAACTTTCTTATCATTTTCTAAATTATTTGCAAACTTCTAAGAAATATGGTCTTGAGTGGTTTCTTGAGCAACCGTATACATTCACCATGGATTTAATAAGTCAAGTATTGAATGGGAAACTGATTGTACAATTGACAAATTTCTTATCTAAAGTAAACGAACACATTGAGCAATGTCAGGTAAGATTGTGTCATTTAATGTATTCATAAATAATATAATTTTAACCCTTTGAATCCTAGTTTTGTATGATCTTACATATATATGGAGGCCAGTAAATTTCGGCTTTTGTACTTTTTGTGTAACTATTGTATTTGGATCTAACCAAATTATTCTACACCTTATAGGTATGTGAAACTCACATTCCGAGTTATTGTGTAGTTTGCAATGAGGGGCCTACACGCCCATATCATATGAAAATGGCGTTTTGTAATCGATGTAATAAATCGTGTCATCGGTAAGCAATATATTTTTGTAATAACATACAGACAACCGAACTTTTTTATGGTTTTTGTTGCGCTTAACAAGTGTAGCAGATATTTTCACATATCATGCTAAATAACTTTGGTTACTTGTTCCACTTATCATTTATTGTTTAATTATTTGACATGTGATGTAATTGTTTATGCACTCAACCCATAACTTTTGGTTTGTGAACCTTTATGTACTCCACCTACTTTGATCTGTATAATGAAGTAGTCACCGTTAGATTTTATCCATCAGGCAGTCAGTCAGTCAGTAACAACGTAGAACTTCGTGCTTACGTACATCAGTTCGAGTTGCCATACCGCATTAGCACAGAGATGCAGTTATCGATTCAAATCCCGTAGTGATAGAGGCGGTAAGACTATAAGCAGTAATCGGAAAAATTAGGGTTTGAAGAAGTTATTTAAAGAGTATAATCCAGTGAGATAAATTTGGAAGGAGAAAAAAAAAAGAGAAAAGGAGGATTCAGGGGATTAGAATTTGAGAGAACACAAAGAATGGATGCACCCGAGCCATTGCAAACGATTTTGAGCCATGTCATTCAGGGTCTCTAACCATCGGTTGCTATCATCTCGCTGATACTAACCAGGTAGTCTACACCTACCAACGTGGATCAGTCCACTTGTCAGTGACTTCATGGACTTGTGCCATGTTTTGGTCTGGCCGCCCCTAGCTTTCTTCCAACCTATTCCTATACCACTGAACATAGCACATCGAGGCAGTCGGTCGTTCTGCATACGTAACACGTGTCCCAGACATCTCAACTGATCAAGTTTAACCACTTCATCAATCGATTTGCCATCCTTACCTAGTACCCGTTTCCTAACAACTGCATTACTTACTCAATGGTCTCAGGATATATGAGCAATGTTTCGAAGACACCTATGATCGAATACTAGTAACCTACGAATATCCTCTCCTCTTACCGGCCATGTTTCACTGCCATGAAGTAGGACGGAACGAACTGCTGCGCAGTAAACACATCCTTTGGTTGATAGACGGATATCTCGCCTACGCCATAAATGACGCAAGTTGGTAAAGGCTAGTCGAGCCTTCTCTATCCGTGCTGAGATTTCGTCACACACCAGACCACAAGGGCTGATGAGACTTCCAAGATAAGTGAAGCGGTCGACACGCTCAATTACTTCACTCCCTATCATTAGTACAGGTGTCGATGCAACCCAATCCTGTAGCAACATTTTGCATTTCGAGGGGGAGAATCGGATTCTGAACATGCTTGCATTGTTGCTTAGAGTGGTCATAAGACTCTGCATTTTGTCAGCGTCTTCACAAAATAGAACTATGTCATCGGCACATTCCAAGTCAACAAGTGGATCTCTTGGTAGAAGTTCAACCCCTGGAAATTTAGATGAGGAAAGTGTTATCTCTAAAATTACGTTGACGACAAAGTTGAACAAGAATGGAAAGAGTGGGCAGCCCTGACGAATACCACTTGAGGTAATCAATTCTGATGACAGTTCGCCAAAATCTCTCACTCTACCAGTTGTGTTCGAGTAGAGAGCCTTTACAAGGTTAATGTACTTCTTTGGTACTCCTTTCAGTGACAAACACTGATACAGAACCTTACGATCAACAGAGTCGAATGCTGCCTTAAGGTCGAGAAATACTTCGATGGTGGGGCGTCTGAACGAATGTCTGTTCTAGAACCTGACGTAGTGTGAATATCTGATCTATACAACCACGTCCAGGTCGAAAACCAGCCTGATTTTCTCTAGTCTGTTCTTCACGAGCTTTGGTTAGGCGTCGAAGTATTATTGAGGCTAATATTTTAGACACTATATTAGTCAAACTGATTCCTCTGTGATTGTCACAAGAGGACTTTTGTCCTTTCTTAAAAACCGGCACAATCAGTGATTGAGACCAGTCAGATGGGATTACGTCCAGTTCCCAAATTCTACTTAAGGCCTCAGTTAATCTTACTGCTAATACTGGACCACCATCCCTAAAAATCTCAGGAGTGAACCTGTCAGGGCCTGCTGCTCTCCCTCGCTTCAGAATTCCTATGGCTTTTTCAACTTCATAAGGAGTCGGAGGACCTAAATTAACTTGCCATTCAGGTTGACTGGAGATCGTGGGAAACCGAAATGTGGCTGAAGGCCAGTTGAACTGATCCCTAAAGTGTTCTGCCCATCGATCCAGTCTACTAGATTGAGAATGTATAATATAACCATCTTCTCTGAGATTGCTTCGCTAACGGTCGGTTTCCTAATACCGGTTTCCCTAACGAGTCTGAACAATTGTCTGCTGTTACCTATTGCCGCTGCCTTTTCTCTTGCTTTCGCTACCCACCACTGTTCGCGATCATTGCGTAGGCTTCTTGTCAGCTTGCGCTTAAGCTGACTCCGCTCTTCGTAATGTTCGGAGCCTGTTGGAATGAGTTTCCGAGCATCTATCAATGCGGTAGATGCTGCTGAGATAGCGTTTTTCCTTAACCTTATGGTTTACCTTACTAGCAGATATCACTGCTGTTTCCACAGCTTTTCGGATATCATTCCATGCTGCCTCGGGGTGGGCATCACCTACATGGCTGCCTAACTGTTTTCCTAGTTGTTCCTGAAATATACTCTTAGTTTGACTATCATTAAGTAGGGCCCTAAGAGGCTTCCTTGCAGCGTCTTTCTTACGTCCAGTAAGACGCAGGCAAATACGCGCTCGCACTAGAGCATGATCTGAATCTAAGCATGTGCTCCAGAATGAGCGACAGTCTTCTATCGAGCCCCTCCATCGATGGCTGATAGCGATGTGATCTATTTGGGTCCAACGTTGGGACGAATTAGGGGGTCGCCATGTCAAAAGATGTTTTTCCTTAAGCTTAAAGTTAGAATTTGCAAGAAAGAGGCGGTTATCTGAGCATAGCTGTAACAGACGGTCGCCATTATCTGTTCTTTGAGCCACGACACCGTATCTTTCCGAGTCCTTATTGTTCCGTTTAGTCGGATAGCGCACAAACGACTGTACTGGGATCCAGTCTAAAAGAGCTTGTTCTACCCTAGGACTCAATGCTATACCTACGCCGGCGAGTCCACGAGAAGCAGCATTAGGGCTTCCTGGCACACGAAGTATGAGTCGATTTGTTTTTTTATTGGCATGGTGATGTCAAAAGAATGACGCTACTCGGATCCTGTATGCGCGTTTTGGAAACGCAGCACACATCATTGGCGCGAGATTCTAAAGTCCTAGCTAAGGAAGCTTGTTGTCCTATTTGGCGCAGTGTTCGGACGTTATAAGCTCCAACATGAAGTTTAGAGTATGGTTTCAGGAGACCAGGAATAATGTTCCACGTACTCGAATCGTTCACTCTAGCGGTACGAGGTGACAAAAGGACGTGAGAAGGGTTAGTTCGGGAGATAAGAGTGGTATTAAGAGGTGTGGGAAGGATTTGAATGTGACCAAATTGGTCTCATGTGCTTTCATGAATAATAGTTCCGAACAGAGATGTGAACTTCCTTACGTGTTGTCATGGAAGTAAGTCACAACGCAGACAATAAAAGCTTAGAATTTCAGGATGACTTTGTTAAATTACCAACCATTTTCCGAGTGATAATTAGAGTATAATCGATTTGTTGAACATTTTTGGGTTTCATGTTTGATATAATAACGTATAGTATATACGATCTAATACTAGTGTCTGTCATTGAAAGGTGTACCTTGTAAGGGCTCTTTACTCGAACACTATCAGTCGAGTTAGAGCTTATGGCGAACTGTCATCTGATTTTGCAGCCACAGGTGGTGTCCAGCAAGGCTGTCCACTATGTCCATTTAGTTCAATTTCATCATAAACCTACTGCTAGAAATAACGTTTTCATCGGCTGAATTTCCGGTAATTTATCTGCTACCAGGAGGTTCACCTGTTGATTTAGAATACGCAGATGATATGGTCGGTGAGGACACCGGTAAAATGCAGAGTGTTTTGGTAACACTGAGTAACAATGCCAGGATGTTTGGGATGCGTTTCTTCCCTTCTAAATGGAAATCGTTGCTTCAGGACTGGCCTGCGTCAACACCTGAACTCAGGATAGAGAGTGAAGTAATCGAACGCGTCGACAACTTCGCTTATCTTGGAAGTCTGATTCGTCCTGAGAGGCGGCCAAACTTATGCCTGTTATCCCTCGTGGAGGAGCATAGTCTGCCGACCAGGATTCTCCAACCAACTGTGTCATGTGCTCTCTTCCTCATTTCTTTCTAATTTCTATTCACCCCTTTGGCATCTGCCTCCAACTCTCGATGTAATGTGTCCCTTCGGCTTTCTCTTTTTTTCACCTTCAGGATTCCAAGTCAGGGCTAACCTATATATATATATATATAACTGCTCCTGTAGCTCTTCAAGGGTTACTGTTGGTCCCAAGCCTGGTTAAAGGGGGAGGGTTGGGAATTAGGTCAGCAACCATATCCCGTAGGAAACAACCTTTCTAAAATACGCCAACAAAAAACACAATATTAACCATTTAAACTCTACCTTGGACGTTGAAATATCTTCATTCATGGTGAAAACCGAGATTTTTCGGAAGTCACGAGACCGATGCCCCTTCTAACAACCAGAGCAACAATTAATATAAGTACACAGAATGCTCGGACAAAGTGGAAGGCCGGAAGGACTAATCAAATATCCGAGGAAATGAGGATTTTCAACTTGGCTATGCTCGGATTAAGTGAAACCGATTGAATCCAAACTGAACAGAAGACTATGGATTCGGGAGAGATGTTGCTTTAGTCTGGTCACAAAGAGGAAACTGCCCCATACACTCATGGAGTTGCTCTGATGCTGTCCAAAGAAGCACGTTAAGCATTTATAAAATGGGAATCTCATGGACCTAGAACCATCAATGAATCTTTCCAAACAAAGAGGGTAGTGATCACAATGAATGTTACCCAATGATATACACCCACCAATGATAGCAACGGCGACGATAAAGATCAGTTTTACGAGAAGTCGCAAATAATCGTAGCAAAGTGCTTAGGAAAGGACCTGACCATCCTGATGGAATACCCAGACGCCAAAGTCGGAATGGACAACACCAGATGTGAAGACATCATGGAACGACATAGACTGGAAGAAAGGAACGCGAATGGTGACAGATTTGCAAATCCATGTGCATTCAACAAAATGGTTATAGGTGGCACCATATCGCACCACAAATCTGTGCATAAAACTACATGGCTATCACCAATTCATACTACAGAGAACCGGATCGATCACATTTACATAACTATAAAATTCAGAAGGCCAATGGAAGATGTGTGAACTAAGGGGTTGACATAGCTCCAGATCACCACCTCGTTGTGGCCAAGATCAAATTGAAGTTAAGGAAGCAATGGACAACTGGGAAAGCAGCATCAAAAAAGGTTCAATACAGCCTTCCTTCCTTCGAGGTACTAACAAGCTCAACGAATTCAAGATAGCTCTCCACAACAGGTTCCAAGCCTTACAAGATCTACTGAAAGAAGAAGAAATTGCTACGGAAGACCACTGGAAACGGATTAAAGAAACACTAACTTCAACGTGTCAGGAGTTGCTGGGCCGCAACAAGCATCACCATAAGAAATGGATCTCTATGGAAACCCTGTACAAGATTCAAGAAACGAAGAACAAGAACATTAGGGAAAGTCGAAGCACAAACTGAATGCACAGAAGCAAGCAAGCAGGTGAAGAGGAGCATTAGAGCTGACACCGGAAATGTGGGGAAGAGCTAGCAACGACGGCGGAAAAAGCTGCAAGAGAAGGAAATATGAAACAACTATGTGACACAACGAAGAAACTAGCAGGGAAATATAGTAAACCAGAGAGACCGGTCAAGCACGAAGGCAAGCCGATCACTGAGATCCAAGAACAGAGGAGCTGATGGGTAGAGAACTTTGAAGAACCCTTGAATAGGCCAGCCGGTTTACGAAAACCTCTACATCTGAGGGGAAGCACGGAATACAATGGACAGCTTGGATGCAACTAAATGATTCGGACTTCGCAGACGACCTAGCTCTTCTATCCCATACACGTGAAAACAACTACAGGTCAAGACAACTAGTGTGGCAAAAGCCACTGCACCAGAAGGCCTCAACATACACAAGAGAAAAAACAGGATCCTCAAATACAACACGGAGAACACTAACTCAATCAAACTTGATGGAGAGGCTCTGGAAGAAGTCGGAACTTTCACATACCTGGAGAGTATGTTTGAGGAACAAGCAGGATCTGATGTAGACGTAAAGGCAAGGATTGGCGAAGCAAGGGTAGTATTCCTACAATTGAAGAACATGTGGAACTCAAAACAACTGTCAACCAATATCAAAGCCAGAATCTTTAATTCGAACGCCAAAACAATTGTGCTGTATGAAGCTGAAGTGTGGAGAACTGCAACCATTACCAAAAATGTACGAGTATTTATAAACAATTATCTACAGGAGATACTGAATCTCTGTCGACCGGATATCATCAGCAACAGCCTACTGTGGGAGTGAACAAACCAGCCTTGAGCTGAAGAGAAAGTTGGGAAAAGACGCTGGAAGTGGATGGGACATACATTGCGAAAATAATCAAACTGTCTCACGAGGCGAGCGCCAACTTGGAATGCTGAAGGGAAACGGAAAAAATGGAAGCCAAATAACACACTGAGTCGAGAATTGGAAGCCGACATGAAAAGAGTGAATAGCAACTGGGAACACCTGGAAAGGACTGCCTAGGACAGATTTGGGTGGAGAATGCTGGTTGACGGTTAATGCTCCTCCACGAGGGGTAACCGACGTATATATATTAAGTCATACGAAATTATTATTGTGATTGTGGTGCTACTTTCCTGCACGGCTCAGATTATTTTGTTATCATATGTGTTAGTCTCATTTAGAAGCCTTAGTTCGCTCCAATTTGTCCAACGAAATACATCTAGATATGTAATGGACTATGTGGTTGTTAAGAGGACATAGATTAAATTAAAGCGTGTTACGTGCACGATAGTTATGGTGCACCCTGATTGGCTGTTTTTATGCAATCAGCACTTGTCGATATTTGGAGAAGACTCTAGAGTCTTCTCATGTAAAACTATACATATACTAACATTTTTCTTATTGTGCTTCTTACTTCCATCTACCCTTTTTATTTGGAATATAATTTTGTTCCTGTTCAACCGTGTTCTAATTTGGGGACTTGTCGAGTGAATTGGTGTCCAAGAATACTAAGTAACAGGAATAGCTGGGTCGTAATAAGAGAAAATTATAACAGTAGTATACTTCTCAGAGCTAATTTATCTGTTAGGGCAAACATAGTAGTCAATATGTTTTTTGAATGTGGTAGCAGTGGAGACAAGTCTTACATCATCGTCTTACGTTTTAAGTTTTGATAACTTTTTTTCACTAGAGATGTTTATAATGCTTTTCACCATCACTATCTCTACGTATTCGGACTGCATTGTCTAGGTTTATAGCCAAAAAGCTGTTCTTTTGAGAATTTGGGTTTAAGAATTATAAATCGGTATTAATGGACTCCATTTTTACATATATAATAAAATTTAACAAACAGGATGACAGTTTTCCGAACATTCGGTTATTCAAGTTCAAGTTGGGATTCTTATCAGTCCTATGTACTCCTTCAGAATCCTGTTGAATCTAGTGTATCTGACTGGGACTTAGGCATCAGAAGCTAATAAGATGCTTTACAAGTGTGGTCTTAATACGTCTGTGCACTGTGCCAATAAGTTGCGCTACTCCGACCTAAATATTGTTAACGAAACTTTCTTATCCTCTCTATTTTTCTGCCCGCTAACAGAGTAAACACAACAGTTTTGGAGATTAAGCTTTTTGATGTTAGTGCAGTGTAATCAGTTAAAAAACCATTAAGTTTGTCAGTTGTATTTCAATGGGAAATAATTAGACTATATGAGAAGAAAAATCATCGTAAAAATCTACTGAAATCCCGTAAACTATCTTCATCAGTCTGAATAATGGTTTACTGAAGTAGAATTTTAACCTAATTGATATTGATTTGCTTATAAGTTTGAGTTGGGGATCGCATATTCTCAACAGGCTTAAATTATAGTTTAGACGCTGTTCTGCAAAGATTGTCCGGCGTTGTAGGTGTGACTCAGTTCGTACATCGTTGCTAGTATGAAAGAGTTTCAACTAAATCGTTTGATAATTCTACAATGAGTTATAGAGATATCTTTTCACTTATGCACATGGAAATAATTAAAGCATTTTCGTCTCTCGATTTGAAAACTTGTACAAATTAATTATCCATACGATAAACCCCAACGTAATTTTTTTACTCCTTTCTATGGAAAATTTCACAGATCTTGTTTGTCCGTGCCATTACCCATTTGTCTGAAAGATACCCCATTCTATGTGGAGATCATTAGAACGTACGGATTATCCGAATTAGGTTTTGACTGGAATGAAGCTGAGGATGAGTGGATTGAAGTACTTTATCCTTCCTTATGTGTGCTATGCAAACAATGTGGTTTGCACTGAACTAACATCATTGTTTAATTCGATGGACAGATTTTTCAGTCATATTCGTATTATCCTCGAACACTGTTTTCATGCACTTCCATTTTTCGATTGCATATTTTCCAAGATATCGCTGTGTAATTTCTTGATTCGATGAATTTGTATATATTTGGGATAAACCTTCTTGCAGGTATGCATGAATATGTAGTGTTTTGTCTCCTTAATTCTACATTTACTTTCACTGATTTCATATTGTTTTTCGTAACTGTACTTAATAATTTTGATTTAATGCACTCCAATAAAGTAAATATTATGGCTGCTAGTAGACATTTGTTCACATTTGTGCGTTCGTTGCTGTCGCATTAGAGTATTTCACTTTATCATGAGTCACGTGATCTGTGTTGACATTTCTGACAGTTTACATACTTTCCAATCTAGATGCTAATAATGTTTTCATCGAAAACTATCCAGTTATGACTGCAACATGTGATTCCTAATACTAAGTTATATGCATTTGTATATTTATATATTTTCGAAGCTCTATCCACAAGTCACAGATTTTCAGTAGTTTTCGCTTATTATATATTAATTGTGTTTATTATGAATCGCTCCCAAATGTCCTGGTTCGGCTGAGGTGGGGAGAGTCCGCTCTCCCTCTCGAAATTCTCTCACATAGCCACGCATATGCAGCCACTTCCAATGAAGTCCTACTCACTGCTTTCTCGTGGCGGCGGTGTTTACGAAATTGAGAGGACGAGAAACGAATTTCCGGTGCTTTAACCGGGTCGATGAACATAGAACGTTCACCTAGGGGAGTTGGAAAACCGTGATTTCAAACCAATGGCGCACATGGATTCCAGAGTCCTGAAAGAACGAATAGCGTACGAAGCTATTGTTGGTCACCAGCTATCATGGGGTCGCGTTTCCTAACGTTGCTCCACTACCTTGTGGATTGAACCTCTAGGTCAAAGGCTCCGGGTGTTGCTTCCTAAGAAAATCACCTGCTTCGATCTGGGCACCCGGGCAGTATCACAGCCTATACACAAATCAGGTGACTTGTGTGGTTCATATGTATTCGGTGCCCTTTTGTATCAATATTTATGTGTTCAAATAAATAAGTAAAGTTAGTATGAATTGGATACTGAAGTATACTTTCATTTTTGACAGCACCAGATGTCACTTATCTACCTAGGCAGATTTGCTAGTAGCTACTTGAAACCTTTTTTTCTACCATCACAAACATTATTTGCATTCTCGTTTATATTATTATTTAAGTCGTTATTTAAACACATACATTAAGCTTACGGTTTTGGTCGACTAACTGACTAAGTTTAAAATAGGGTGAATCCGTTTGTTTTTCACATTTCCTAGAATAAAATACAAAGGCAATAAAGTGAATAAAATTATAAGTTATGATGAAATACACCAAGAATTGAATGGTTCCTAATTACTCCTATTCTCCTAACATGGATCAGATGCTCTAGAATAACTAAGTCAACTACGATAATGCAATGAGAAGACGAAGTTTATCAGAATTATGTGATATATTTGCGTAATACATTTTGAACAATCTGATTACACATATACATTTTTTATATGAAAATTAAAAGGTCAGCTAGACAGATTAAAGGTAAACCGTAACAAAATAAAAAAATAATAAATTACACAAAATCAATGTGATTACCACTCTGGATAATAAGTCAGTATTACCAGAGTGAGTTAAGGTTAAGGACAAATTGTTTTTGAACGCATGAAGAGGGTTTCAGTTTACGTATAGCCGAGGCTTCACTAAACCTTAGTTTATGTCCTCTAAGGCTTTTGTATAACACTACAAATGCTGATTTGATGTCAAACTTATGACCGGTCTCAATCAAATGTTTCGCAATGGAGGATGATATCTGTCTATCCGGTGATCTTATTTGACCATTGGAATTCATTTGTCTCTGTAGCCATTTTGGTATGTGTTCACCCACCCTTAATTGCAAATCACGATTGCTCCTCCCTATGTACGCGTTTCCGCACATACGTGTAAATTGATAGACACAATAGGATGTAACACAATCGCTTACGTGTTGTTTGGACTTTTGGTGAGACAGACCTTGTCTTTTCAATAATGACAGGTTGGGCTGCATAAAATGTTCGGTTGATGTCTAATTTAAGTCTCCGTTTCAACATGAGACTATTTGTGTCGCCTCTAAGTGGTAACATAATGTAAACTAGCTTTTTGGGTACCAGAGGCGTCATACATCTAATCGTATTGCAACCCTTCCACCGGTTTATGAACTTCAATGAATAACCATTATTCATCAACGTATCAGTCAAGAGCTTCGTCTCTACTCCAGTAGTATCGCTAGTACAAATACGATAGATTCTATTGAATAAGTCCTTTATTAATCCACGTTCGTAATGAATTAGGCAGTGACTATGGAAACTAAGATATTGGCTTTTTATATGTAGAACGTTGGATGGAACCGTCATCTCCTACTCATCAGTATGTCTAGAAAAGGAAGTTGGTTGTTCTTCTCTACTTCATATGTAAGAGAAATGTGCTTTTGACTTGTATTAAGTTCTTTTAACACGCGGTTTACATCTTCAACTTTATCACCTATGATGACAAATTATTATAATGTAGACTCGCTGAAATCATATCCATCTGGTAATGCCAAACTCTTCGAATTTGGCAAGATGGATTTATTTATCGCATCAGTACTCATTTCGCTACCTGTTATAATAAACCTCTTTATTTAGATTTGACTATTAATCCTGATATTAACAAAGAATAAATACATCGTTTTTTATTTACGACCAAGTAATTCGTTTCACATTTAAAAATAATGATGTGCGTTTATTTTTTCTTCGATATTGGTAGTATCGAATCCACTATTTCAGTGAAATGATTTAATAGGTTCAAATCTTTTGATAGAACATAATTAGGTTTCTATGTCAAGTATTGCGGGACGTAAACTTCCTATCTGCCGTGGTTGTATTTCTTAGATCAACATGATAATTATTCACTTATGAAATTTCAGTCAGTGACTATGGTCTATATATGTTGATCACTCTCTGGTATTTATTGGTCGCCTAAGACTAGTTCCTGTTGAGATCGCTGAAATCCGACTAACTCTGCAACAACCTATAGTACGAATCTGTACTTGTATTTTAAGAATACTTAAAGTGCAACTTTATTGGCTGAAAACATTTCAGATAAGTTACCCAGAAACTTGATTAGTGGAAGTGCAAAGATTTGTTCACTTCGAGATATCTCTATTTTTATGTTTAAATAAAAAATTTCGTCTAATCCCTGAAAACTTCAACCGGTTCTATTCGTGCAACAAAGCTCAACGAACTGAAAAGGCGAATGAATGATCTTTTCCAGTTCATAAATGTGTGTTATGCCTTCTCGTACTGATGAAACCGGCAAAGTTGCTTGATGGAAGATATGTTTGTTCGAACATGGAGTGCTTACAGGTTGCTATCAAAGAAATACTTTTCAACTATCCTTGAGACGTTTACTAAAGAATATTGCCAAATTCATCACTCGCACAGTGAATATGGATTGTCCAAATGTACATAACAGCCACACTAATCAAATGAGTTTTGAGGATCCAGCTAATTTCGTTCCAATCCCATTTACTTATAATAAAAATAATCTATCCCAGATAACGCAGTAGCCTCACCCAATACGAAGTATGGTACATATTCAATAAACATTCGAACCCCTTGTTAAGTGAAGTACAATAGTTTAGAATTCTACTTAAGCTATTGTAAATGTGATTTTTTTATATATAAAAGGATAACTGATTTGTTCATAATTGTGCACTTTATCAGAATGGGTTTTGTGGAGATTTTTAGAAATTTCACAGATTGAAATCATGAGTCAGTTGAAGCTAGGCCACCATTGAAAACCTGGAAGCACTGGACGGCCGTTTCGTCCTAGACAATGGTGTACGGTGGCGCAACTTCGTGGATTGGCTGAAGTTAGACATTAACACCGTTGGATACCGGCTCAGTGGTCTAATGGTTAAGTGCCCGCGCGCGAAGCCAGTAGGTCCTGGGTTCGAGCCCCGCGTGGTGCGGGATCGTGGATGCGCACTGCTGAGGAGTCCTGTACTAGGACAAAACGGCCGTCCAGTGCTTCCAGGTTTTCAATGGTGGTCTAGCTTCAACTGACTCATGATTTCAATCTGTGAAATTGTGCAATTTATTGTAATTCTAATATATTGCCTTTATGTGCGTTCACAATCTTCTATCTACGATCACTAGTTTGTTCGTAGCTACTAGAGTACGTTTTAGATATATCCGTATATATATCTGTATCATACAATATATTCAGTACTATCAGTTATCCTACGGATGTATAATCTCCTGTTCCCACTAAGGGTACATTCGTGAGTAATGCTGACACATCAAGTGATACCATAAATTCCTCATCAACTTTCTAATTCTCCATCTTACTGGCATCCTAAAAATTATCTTTCGCATTGTTTTGCAACGTCTTTAGTGAAGTGGTCCCAGGAATTCTATAGGACGTTTCTCAGTCGCATGGTAAGGTATGTTTAGTAATGGTTTCATACGAATATATGATTGTAATTAGTAATAAAAGTTTGATTATATGGGACAAGAGGGCGAATCCCCTCTTAAACTATTTTTTAAAAATAGTATGAAATAGTGTCTCATAACTCCAAGTATATCCGTTGAACTAGTTGATAGTAAAACTGCAAATGCCACTGAATTCTTCGGCTAAATTAAAGTCGATTTAAGGTAAAATTTCGAAATGCTTATGAGTGGTTTAACTATATCCATAGATGTACACTTCCGAACATGCTAGCAAGTTATAGTGTTTTGGCAACCTATTTACTTCATGATTACAAAGTATTCAAGTACTGGTACTCCTATATAAATTAAGCACCATTGATGTGCTTTCACTCAGTGGTCAGTTCGTAAATACATTACAGGTAACACGGAACTCGTCACGCTAGACTGCAACCCACTACCGCTTCACATCCATTACTATGAAGAAATTTAACAAAACGAAGTATATGTTTATTTTCAGATATGACTATAGGTTCTTATGAAAACTCTGCACTCTCATAATCCTTCATACGTTCTTTAAAATTTTCTTATTAGTGTTTCAAGAGGTGACCATATCGATGGGATGAGGTTTATTTGGATTATTTTCCAGCAGCCAGTCGGCCAGCCAAAGCTAGGCAAGCAGAAAATCAAACACAAGCATTTGTTATCAATAAAAACCATTCAATGTCAAATGTTTAAAGTTTCAAGTCTCTTATGTACATGAAGATTAAGGAGACGTTAAGTAATAATACTCAATTTTTATGAAATGAACATCTATCTTCAGTGGCTTAACAGCGTTAAAATCAATCTCAACTGATAACTGGAATTTAATTTATTTAAACAACATGATCAAAATAGTATACGGAACCGACCACAGTTATATGGTAATCGGGAAGCTGGTGAAAGGAACCCAGTTGAACAATGTTTGGAGCAATTTAATATGTCCTTATCATTGGGATATTTTAACTTACGAAATTGTAGGTAGACGGAAATATTTTACTGAAATTCCACGTGAAATTATTGAGTTTTGAGGAGAGCTGTATTTTTATTTTATTCTCTTACTAATGAATCAGGTACATGTCATTGAGCTATTCACAAGCATAAAATCATTTTGCAAGTAAAAGGTCACCCAATTTGTCGAAATCTAATTACACTGGAACATCAATGGACAGATAAAGGACCTCACCATGCGTCTAAACAAAATATGGCATCCCAGTGGCCCATTAACTTACCATTTAACTGAGCACCTAAAAGATCATTGAAGTTGAATATTCATATAAAACTTAACAACAGTAAGATAATCTTATCCGTGAATTGTTTTTGGCGACTTAACTTACTTACTTACTTACTTACGCCTGTTACTCCCAATGGAGCATAGGCCGCTGACCAGCATTCTCCAACCCACTCTGTCCTGGGCCTTCTTTTCTAGTTCCATCCAATTCTTGTTCATTTTTCTCATGTCTATCTCCATTTCTCGGCGTAATGTGTTCTTTGGTCTTCCTCTTTTCCTTTGACCTTCAGGATTCCATGTGAGGGATTGTCTTGACGCAGTTGGGTGCTTTCCTCAATGTGTGTCCTATCCACTTCCAGCGCTTCTTCCTGATTTCTTCCTCCACTGGGATCTGGTTTGTTCTCTCCCACAGTAGGTTGTTGCTAATAGTGTCCGGCCAATGGATCTGAAGTATTTTGCGTAGACAATTGTTAATAAACACCTGTATTTTCTGGATGATGGCTTTTGTAGTTCTCCAGGTTTCTGCCACATACAGTAGAACTGTCTTGACATTTGTATTGAAAATCCTGACCTTGGTGTTGGTTGACAGTTGCTTTGAGTTCCAGATGTTCCTCAGTTGTAAATATGCTGCTCTTGCTTTGCCGATCCGCGCCTTCACATCTGCATCAGATCCACCCTGTTCATCAATGATGCTGCCCAAATACGTAAAGGTTTTTACATCTTCCAAATCTTCTCCGTCAATTGTGATTGGATTGGTGCATTCTGTGTTGTATCGAAGAATCCTCCTTTTTCCTTTGTGTATATTGAGACCTACTGCTGCTGAGGCCGCTGCCACACTGTTCGTCTTCTCCTACATCTGTTGTTGCGTTTGGGATAGAAGGGCCAGATCGTCTGCGAAGTCTAGATCATCCAACTGCATCCTAGATGTCCATTGTATCCCGCGCTTTCCTTCAGACGTTGACGTCTTCATGATCCAGTCGATCACCAGGAGAAAGAGAAAGGGTGAGAGTAAGCGACTTAACGGCCTCGTTAATTACATTAATGTCAAAGAACAATGTGATATTACTGAATGCCGAATTTCTAAACAAAAAAAGCATTACGTCATCTGTTGTTTTTTTACGCTGTCGTAGTTCTGAACGCGAAATCGTCTATTACCTACAAAATGAGAGTATCATATCCAATATAATTGTGTCAGTCCCGGTTTGCTTTACTTTCCACATTCAATTTTACCACTCCGAGTACTACCATTATTTTATCCAAACTTTTATTTTAATTGTGGCCATTGTTGGAACTAAGAATTTAAATTCTACAGTATTTGGAATCCATTAACTAGGTACATACTTCATTCTAGTGTTTATTAAGTCTATACTAGAATAAAAGCAAACTTATGAATCAATAAATTTCGATATTAAAAAATGTTTCAGTGATTAATTAACTCAGTCTAGTAAATCAACGGCAAGAAATTAAAGCTCCTAACAAAAACAGTCCAGGTTCATTTAAAACCATGAGAACTTTATGATCCTGTATTTATTACATGCTATCACGTGAGCTCGAAAATATCTTCGGAAAAATCAATAAGCCCATACGATAAGAAATATCAACTTACTACTGGATCCTTAGGTTTTTGTTTGCACAGTTCTGTCAAACCTTTTAGTAAAGTTGGGTTTACATTCCGAACTAAGTAATCTTTTGCTGCAAGTCTTACGGGGATCGGTGCAACGATCACTAAATGAATGAGTAATTTTAATAATAAGAACATTACATTGTGCGAAAAAAATAACCACACAATTTTAAAAACATGACAACTCTGTTTAAACATATATTTTAAGTTTGTGTTATTTTGATTAGTCAATCTACCTGCTGTATTCTTGAAAGTACCCTTCGCAAAGCATTCTGTCTCCATATTTTAGGTTGATTAGATTCCGTATGTTCATACAAGCTAACAACAAGATGATGGTTTCGCACTGAAATCTAGTCCAAAAATGGAGGGGGGTGAAATCTTGGCTGTATTACTTATTTGGGTGAATTGGTTATCTGAGAAGTACTGATGTGAGCTACCAAAGGTAGGTTTGACGCTTAGTATTGGATTTCGTAGACAGCTTTATGGATTCTATCAACTTCAAATGGGTTTATTGATGTCCATATGCTAGAAGGGGAAATGAATTTTTACAACAATATTTGGGTTCCACGTCAGGATTTTACTTTGTACACAGAGAACTGTCTTGGAGTCTGGGAATCGTGGATCAGTGTGCTAATTCATCATACAATTTTCACAAATTTTCTATTCGAGATATTTGGAACTTTTATGATGGATAAAAACTAGGACGCATCAATATATCTTCAGTTTCCTATTGACATGCTCGGTCAACTTTGACCATTCAAAACATATTGTCATCAACCCATCGTTGTTTTAAAGCTACCCGACCGTTGTTGCTACCTTGACGTGGTGGTCGGGCTTGCCTATCGTGATGAAGCAACCGAGCTATACTGGCTGGAACAACTGTTCCTCAAGGTCCTACCATGTCAGACAGGTCAGTTGAAGAGCGGTAAGACTAAAAGCAACAAACCCAAGGTCCGAAGGCGAAGTCGTACTGCTGACTGTACAGAGGTGTGACAGCAGTAAGGTGTTTCCTTCAGACAACCAGCATGACAGCGATGCTGCGTTCCCACAAGGATGGGTGGGGTTAGAAAAGGTCGACCCTAAAAATGCACACCTCGCCTTGTCCCACGGATATCCGTCTCCGGAGGTAAGGTCTCAACAAGTACGGAGCTAACACAAAAATTACCCATAGAAAAGTCGTGCGCGACCGGCCTCAAGCAGTTGTCCCTTGGGCACTGCGGTCACGCTCCCAGGTCACTAAGACCACCTCTAATCCAATTTCCTCTTCAGGCATATCCAGAACAACCCTTCCACGGTGTGGGCAACCGGGAAGTGATAACCGCCCTCATACCTCTAACAGCACTCAAGACCACTGTATTCATAATCAACCTCCCTCTTCAATTCCTATTATTCCTCCTACATCGACTTTCAACTCTAAACTTCCTCTTCCGGCTTCCTCCTCAAGTGTCACCACAGCCAACGATTCTAGTGCTCAAAACACTGTTCCAGGTCTACTGAAACCTCGCTCCAAACTACACATTGGAGCCTTCAACGTACGCACCCTATGTCAAATCGGTCAGCAGGCTTCCTTGGCTAAAACCCTAGAGTCTCTTTCCATTGATGTGTGCTGTGTCTCCGAAACACGCATACAGGATTCCAGTGTGGTCATTCATTTGACCTCACCTCGGCAAAACGGAGAGTCAACGAGATACACCCTCCGTGTATCTGGTGACCCGATGGCCAGTTCTCGTGGACTGGCAGGTGTAGGCATAGCACTAAGCATGAGGGCGGAACAAGCACTGCTAGAGTGGATCCCCATCAACAGTCGTCTATGTGCTGTTCGGCTAAACGGCTCCGTAAGAACTCGGAAGGATAGGGACACACGTCGTTGCCTTTTTGTCGTTTCTGCCTACGCTCCCACCGACTGCAGCTCAGATGAAGTGAAAGATGAATTTTACAGAAAGCTGTCCGAACTTCTTCAGAAAGCTAAACGCTCAGACATAGTACTCGTAGCAGGTGATTTTAATGCCCAGATAGGTAGTTTAAACCAAACAGAAAGGCATTTAGGTGGGTATTTTGGTATTCCGGCACAACGATTAGATAATGGTGATCGCCTGCTGCAACTGTGCTGAGACAATCGTTTATTTTTAGCAAACACAAATTTTAAGCATAAGGAGAGACATCGTCTAACATGGCGACCCCCTACACCAAACCAACGATGGACTCAAATAGACCATATTGCTATCAGTCATCGTTGGAGAGGGTCGGTAGAAGATTGTCGCTCATTCTGGAGTACTTGCTTGGACTCCGACCATGCCCTAATACGGGCACGCATCTGCTTGCGCCTCACTGGACGCAAAAAAGCCACATTAAAAAGACCCATTAGAACTGAGTTGAGTAACGAGAAAACCAAAAGTAGGTTCCAGGAACAACTGAGGTCACACTTAGGTAGTTCTGCAAACGAGGCTGACCCAGATGTTGCTTGGAAAGTTATACAAACAGCTGTGGAAACAGCAATGAAATCTATTAGTGACTTAAACCACAGAGTTACAACGAACTAGTGGATTTCTTCAAAGTCTATCACACTGATGAATTCTCGCAAACTCGTCCCATCAGGTTCCGAACATGATGAAGAGCGACAACAAATCAGATCTAGGTTAAGAAAAAGTCTAAGAAAAGACCGTGAGCAGTGGTGGGCAACGAAAGCAAAAGAGATGGAAAAGGCGACGACTATAGGGAACACAAGACAGCTCTACAGACTAATAAAAGAAAGTGGAATTATTAAGTCAAGTGTAAGTCAGACTATTTCGGAAAAAGATGACACTCATCAGAGGACAGTTCAGCTGGCCTTCAGCTACTCTACAACTGCCCTCCATTTCCAGACAGTGTGAATGGAACATTGAAGTAGGTCCCTCAACTCTAGCAGAAGTACGAAAGGCTATAGGTAATCTGAAACGAGGAAGGGCAGCTGGTCTAGATGGATTTGCTCAAGAGGTATTTAAGAATACTGGTCCAATTGTAGCGATTAGGTTGACTAATAGTTTAGCTAAAGTATGGGAGTTAGACGTAATCCCATCTGGCTGGACGCAATCACTTATCGTCCCAATATATAAGAAAGGGTCAAAATCATCCTGTGACAACCACAGAGGGATTAGTTTAACTAATATAGTATCTAAAATACTAGCCTTGATAATTTTTAGACGCCTAACTAAGACTCGTGAACTGCAAACACGAGAGAATCAAGCTGGCTTCAGACCTGGTCGTGGCTGCATCGACCACATATTCACCATTCGTCAGGTTCTAGAACACAGGCATACTTATCGGCGTCCGACAATGGTGGTCTTTCTTGACTTAAAAGCAGCATTTGACTCGGTAGACCGCGAGATTCTGTGGCAGTGTCTGTCATTGAACGGCGTACCTCAGAAGTACATAAACTTTGTAAAGGCTCTTGACTCGAACACTACTAGTCGAGTCAGAGCTTATGGCGAACTGTCATCTACTTTTGCAACCTCAAGTGGTGTCCGTCAAGGCTGTCCACTTTCTCCATTTCTGTTTAACTTTATCATAGACCTACTGATGGAAATAACATTCTCGTCGACTGAATTCTCGGATATTGATCTCCTTCCAGAAGGTCCACTTATCGACTTAGAATACGCAGATGATATAGTCCTGTTTGGTGAAGACGCCGATAAAATGCAGAGTCTTTTGGTAGCACTAAGCAACAATACCAGAATGTTTGGAATGCGCTTCTCTCCCTCTAAGTGCAAGTTGTTGCTTCAGGACTGGTCTGCGTCAACACCTGAACTAAGGATAGGGAGTGAAGTAGTCGAACGCGTCGACAACTTCACTTTTCTTGGAAGTCTGATTGGTTCTAATGGGTTGGTGTCTGACGAAGTCTCATCACGGATTCAGAAAGCTCGTTTGGCTTTTGCGAACTTACGTTACATATGATGAAGGCGAGATATTCTTCTATCAATAAAAGGACGAGTATACTGCGCGGCAGTCTGTTCTGTTTTACTTTACGGCAGCGAAACATGGCCTTTAAGAGTAGAAGACACTCGTAAGCTAATAGTTTTTGACCACAGATGCCTTAGAAATATTGCTGGCATCTGCTGGGATCACCGGATAAGTAATAATGAGGTTAGACGCAGGGTATTAGGGAATGATGGTAAATCAGTTGATGAGGTTATGAATCTTCATCGACTGAGATGGTTGGGCCACGTGATACGTATGCCTGAACACCGATTACCACGACGTACAATGCTATCCGGTATTGGAGATAGTTGTAAGAAAGTTAGGGGTGGCCAAACCAAAACGTGGCATCAGTGCTTGAAGACACTAACTTCTAGTCTGAGCCATGTTGGTAGATGCAGACTACTTGGTTGGGGTCCGCGTGACTATCGTAACGAATGGTTGGAGACTCTTGGTGACATGGCTCAGAATCGATCACAATGGCGTCGGTGTATACACTCCCTGTCTTCCCTTAAACTAAGAGATTAAAATCACTTCATATCTTTCTTTCTACGAACCAATTCTTTTTTCTATTACTATATCTCTATATGCAATCTTCCTCTTATATATTACCACCTTTGACCTAGCCACTGCTATGAATCCGGTGTTCATCTTGTTGTGCTGATGCGGTATGGCAACCTGGACCGATGCACATATGTGCCTGATCCTACGTTGTAGCTGACTGACTGACTGTATTAAAGCTAATTTGATTTATCTTAACATTTTTATCTTAAACTAAGCTTTATCTTACAAATGCTTTCTTAACCATTTCTCTTACTGTCAAAGTGGGTGAAACAAACACATGTTGAAATGTAAACAAAAAGCTAATAGGCTTACGTCAATTTTAAGGCAAAATGACGAACTAAAGTTGGTTTCTGAGTGATTCTTTGGCGCCACATAATCATAGTTTCCACTATCATAAGCATACAGTAAAAAATAGTTTATATTTTATATCAGGTACTAGATTTAGCTGGGAAGCTGTTAAAAATCAGGAAGCACCAGAGCGGCATTTTGTTCTAATATAAGACTCCCCGTCAGCTTCCCTAAACAATCCTAGCAGGGCTCAAACTTCAAATTACTGAACTGTCATCGAGGGGTTCATGCTTTCAACTCAAGTCACTCTCCAATATTGAATGACTATCATCCACTGTAATCAATGGTGCTTATCTCATAGTCGACATGGTTCAATTCCATAGGTCATAGATTCTCACTGGATCTCTGAAAAATCGCCCCAAAGTTAGTTTCAGTAAGAATATGATTATTAGTAGCATGGCAAGTTTGGTGAGATTTGTGAGAAAGAAACACAAAACTTCATTCAAGCTACTTACTATCTGGGAAGAAGAATCTGATTTCTCTTTCAGCACTTGTAAACGAATCGCTTCCATGTATTCCATTCTGTTGATCATCTGTACCATAAATAGCTCTTAAACTACACAAGAAATATTCAATAAGAAGGTTCAAGTTTCATGTTAGTAAGTTAACCTTGCAGGTGCCGTCGCCTTAGCTTTAAATGCATTTTGTGGACCAATTAATTCATGAAGAATAGATATAGCATTTTCTCTAGCTATGACTAGTACTTCTATCGGACCACTGCTAATGTAGGCAATTAATGTTGCATAAAATATTTTCCCGTAATGTTCTGCATAAAATTCGCTTGCTTGTTCTGGTGTCAAATGAACGCGTCTCTTCTATCAAATGCATCAATTTTGGTTATACATTCTGGGGAATCGATATTTACCTGTATTATCAAGAATCCTTTTTGTAAGATAAGCTCTTCTATTTTATCTGCATAATTAATAATGTCCGGCTTAATAATTAAGAGTGTTCTTTCAATATGAATATATGGAGAATTTTCCCTGGACATTTCTGAAACGAGTTGTATAATTTCAAGGCCTAAAATGATATTTAAAATCATCTACGGTCTTGAGGTCTTAAAATACAAGAGAGAGCACAACTTGTCTAGTACTAAAAAAACACACCAAAACAGGATGTAGCCCAATAAATATGTCTTTTTGAAAGAATAAAATGCAAAAAGCACTTGGCACTTCGTTTAAGATATTTGTCCAAGTTGAATGGATTTGGCTGCTTCATACATCAATCAGACCAGAAGTATTGTAACTAATGTACCACCCAGAAATATGTTTAGCCAGTCATTAGACTATTCGACCAACGAGCTGAATATTGCAAGGCCTGATGTCTATTCTCCTGATCACTTTGATAGATTTTATACGTTGACAGAGAGATTCCATGTAAATTTTACCTAGCGATCTTATTCAAACTTATTATTAGTGAATACCCATTTTATGAAAAGTAAGTGGGCCTTTTAAAAGACACTAGTGACTTTAAGGTTTCACTCGTTGATCAAATAATATCGTTAGTTATAGGCTTCTGTGGTGACTTTAGATGTAAGGAGATTTCCTTCTATTTGTGAAAGGGTAATAAAATATCGGTTTGTGGATATACATTTAAAACATTCAAAGCAGCAGTGAAGTCCATGGGGTTCAACAATAAGCGGTTAAAGCGACGAATTAAAAATGCTTGTTTTACGTCGATTGATATAATCATCTAAAGCTGTTCGTTCGATTCAAGAAACCTATTTTCCACAAAGAATTCGAAAAGATAGCACTTGGTATTGCATTCAACAGTGATACAGGTAAAAGGTCCAGGCCTGGAGATTACGTCTCATAGAAGATAAGTGATCTCACACGATATTCTTCGTTGTTGATTGGGACGTTTCTTTTTAAGTTACGGTATCTCAAGCTGTCAATGTGACTGTGTTAATACTTCATTTTATTTGATTATTAGCCGTGATGGAGACTGTGAAAAAATTCACGACCTGTCATCTCCTGTGTTGAGTTTGTCTTAATCTGCTAACCCATGTTTTTCTTTAGCTCAGTCAGTCAAACAGACGTAACGTAGAACCTGGCACGTATGCATATCGCTCCAAGTTGCCATATCTCGTTAGCACAGAGAGGTGAAAATCGTCAGAGCAAATCCCAGAGCATTAGATGTGGTAACAGTATTAAAAACTTTCGCCTGAAGCCCCTTTTGGGGTTACTGCAGATCCCGAACCCGGATGGAGGAGGGTTGGGCATGGGGTTAGCGACCCCATCCCGTAGACAGCTAACTCGCAGAAAAACGCTAGTCAGAAAAAACAATTCAAACTAAAACTTTTAATGGCAATAGGAAAGACTAGTCATCTAAGATAAATTAGTGAAATAACGAAACAGAATTTGTGAGGAATCCATAAATCTAGGGTCTAAAGCAAGGTAAAGATTGGGTGTATCTGGGCTATTTTAAACGGCTTCGCTACAACATTCAAAGTCTAACCATTGGAAACGATAATCACACGGACCAGGGTCATGGTGAGGCAGTAACTCCAGGACCTAGCATTAGCGTTTGCCAATTCAAGCTACTACAACTCATAATCGCAAAGAAAAGGGGATTAACTAGACGGGAATCAAACATGAGAAAACTAGCAAACGAGTCAAAGGTCTGAATTTGTAGCAAACACAGTTGCTTCTAGTTAGTTTGGAGGCAAGCCTTATCAAATGCGTTCTTCTGCATATATTGCACCATTGTAACAGCCATTGAACAAAATGTTGAGACCCAAAACAAAGCAATTATTCTGACTGCAGTTTCACTACGCATCAAATCGTACTCCGTCTTCACTAGAGAATGTAGGTATTGTTTGAGACACGGTAGTTTGAAAGACAGTATTATTTAATGAACTTCAACATGATTTCGCCATCGAAATAATAAGATACAATAAAATGTAGTAAAAAGACTTTGGTGATATTGAGCTGGAAAACCTGAATTATATGTTTAAAAGCAGATAGTAGTTAAATTTTTCTAGCCCTATTAACATAAACTAGTTCCTAGCGTCTTAAAATCCTTCTTAATTGTATTACAATCAATTATGCTATCAATTCATTTTTTCGAATCTCTTCTAACTCAGTAGTTTTAGTTTTAACTGAGATTTACCCATTTCTTTCTGAATTATTAGCATCTTCTTATTATGTAGTTGCTTATTGTTAACCCCTTAATTTATTATCACTATCAATATTTTAGAGTTTCTAACTGGAAATGATATACATTCGCAATATTTTTATTTATTCTGTTCATTCAACTACATCTCTGCTGTACTATGCTGGTATGTGTCCACAACACTTCTCAATGAAATTCATTTGTCTAAGTGCTTCTAATCCACCTTGTAATTCTGACTTTTAAATACCACAGATTGTAAACAGGTAACAAGAACCTGACGAAACACAAAACGCACACATGTTAATTAGCTCAGGATCCCGTTCTTCTACTAAAAATACATTCGTTAGAACTGGAGTTTCTTATTGTACAGGTTTCTTACTATATAAGTGAGAATAACGATGAGATAAATTAGTTAATACTTCATGTCGTAGTGGCTTAGGTTAGCAGTTACTTTACATATTTCTTTTTGAAGCCTAATATTTCACCACGTGTGACATTGTCGCCCTACTTTCTCATGTCTTTTGGTCCATTTTTCCACTTTAATTTTTTCCTCAGTTCTCTCCTTCTCTGCTATCTAGAACAGGAGCAATATTATTTAAACACTATGATACCCTCTGTGCGATTAACACCCATTAGCAGCATTGTAGCGGTGTACTTATTAGCATGTTAGGACGTCACATTAAATCTATCTTGCTTGAAAGTATGACGTATCTTCTCTAAAATTTGTGACTCCTTGACCATGAAGCATCAACTTGTGGGTCTAATTGATGAAGATTTAGCAATGTATGATTCTGAACAAATCGGCTGATATAATATAATGTCAACTCATTCGCCAGGCACTTAGGTATGAGCCACACTGTAAATGTGAGGGCTGATAATACTACCTGGCCGCCAGAACGTAAATAGGTCAGAAACTTTCTGTAATAGTTTAACAGTGTCATCGTTAGAACTTCCCTCTATCGTTATGAAACTGTAATTACTAGCTAAAACGGTCTTGCTTAAATATTACTAATGTATGTGAGACAATGATGGCATATCAAGGAAGCTCGAATCCGACATGTTACCGTAAACTGGATACATGTCTTTAAGGTGAAAACATCAAAGAAAAACCCCTAGGGCCACGGATTTGTTTAGTAATTTATTTTCACTTCAGATGGCAAAAGCCACCAAACTGGCAATTGACAGTTCGGAAACACTCATTTTATTTGTTCCAGCGTGTTATACAGCCATAACTGGGTGTCAGGTTTACACTCTCCGGGGATATCATCGAAAGAAATATTCACAAGCGTAGAGTTTGCTAAGGTTTGGAGAGTGAAATTGTATTTGATGGTCTTTATTCATTAAGCTCAGTAGATTTGGAATTTCAATCATCCATTCTCTCTGAAGATCTTGCAAAGATTCTTTAATGACGTGAGAGAAAAATTGAATAGCCGTTATTCCAGAAGGAAAGGACATGTACGTAACAACCTGCGAATCTGACTGCTATCAGGATTTTCTAACAGTAGCGATTTGTTTTACCAAACACAAAAGTAAGTCTCATCCAATATTTGTACGTATTATCGGTAAATAATTTAAGGGGAACCCAGGAATAACTAATAATTCTTATTCCATTTTATAATTCAATCGATCACTGCCAATATTTTTGTAGGTCGTGGTTTAAATTTTCGAAATTAAGTGACTTATTACACACAAATCAACCTCCTAAATTAGTTGAACTGCTTGGAAGTTAACCTTTGTGTGAAAGTAATAGCGAACACAGATACTTAGGACAAAAGTGGGCTACTTTTGTTGAGATCAAAATTTCGAAACAAGGCTTACCAAGAGAGAGATTTAAGAAAAAATTCGCAATCTCCCTGTGGCAGACGAAAGAGGCAACATTCTGATGCATTTCCGCCAAGAATTCCGTCAAATTTCCTCAAAGAATACCCGCCTCGATTTCACCATTGTTGTTCGCCTGGCTTGATTTTAGGCAGTAAGCGCATCCAAAAGTGAGTAGACGTGCAAAAATAGATGTCATAAAACTCCAGTTAAGTCATTTTGTTTCCTGTCCTTAAATCAAAAATATCGTATGATTCATCGTTCAACAAGCAACAAATGATGGTGTTCATCCAGCCAAATATTTATGGAAATTTTGAGCGAGACTATAGTTTATGGACGAACCAATCAGATTTAGGATAACAGGTCCTGGATTTGGGCGCGAAATTCACCCACTTATTTGTCTAAATAGTGTTTTGGCATTTTGGATGATGTCAGTTCGTGATGAAAACCATAAATCTAAACCCTAACCCTTACCATCAACTGTAAATCATAATCCCTATTCTTTATACACCTCATTTACCTCCAGTAAGCAGGCAGACATTCTCAAGGTTACTTTAGCGTCGCTCAAATGTCCATAAATTATGGTCTCACCACTTCTAGATATAATCACTGACTAGATGCAATGACGTATATTGTGGAGAACAATGTGTAAGACCAAGACAAACAAAAGAGCACGAATTATTGAACCAAAATCCAAGGTTTTGAACTATTCTACACCCAAAATGCACAAACTAAATCATAAATAGCGTAATCACTGAAAAAATCTAACAATTTTCGCAGGTTTGCAAGGGAGATACGATAAAAGGTCTTTATAATAATTACTTTAATGAATAGCAAACAATTTCACAGACTATTTTGTAGTGGTTACTTATTTCATTGCGTTAAAATTACGAGAGATGTGGTAACTAACTGCGAACTACCTTGAAGAGATTTTCAAAACTGCTGGAACCGGTACCATAGAGACCGAAGTTCAATGAACAACATGCTCGTAAGAGACGAATATAAATCGAATAGTTATTTTGTACTTCCACTTCAACGTTAAGGAGTGATTTCAGATATTTGATAGCATCTAGTGAAGATATTCTATCCACCCAACTGCATTAGCCGTATTTCACTTGACAATTTTTCGGAGGTCGGTATATTTTGAGGGTAGGTGAGAATGTGTCCCATAAATGGTGAGATCATTGTTACTGGCACCTTTCACACCACAGGCTGGCCGTTTGGTCGGTCGCAACAAAGTTTTGTGATCAAAATGGGAATAATGAACAGACGCAGATAGAAGATAAAACTTACAAAACAAATAAATAGATAGATGAAGACAAGTGAATAATTTGCAATAATGATTTGTCAATTAAGAGAAAATGCTTGGGTAAGGATGTGACAGGGAGTGTAAAGGGAATAAAATCAGTAAGTGTAATAGCGTATTGCCTTAGAGGTACATTTACGTTTTGTCTTTGCATGTAACACGTATCAATGTACGTATGTGTCTATGTATGTCTGTGTGTGTAAGTCTGTGTGTATATATGCACATGTATATGAATGAACGTGTTTTTTTATGTACATATTAATTTAGTTGTGTATGTGGGCATGTATGTACATATGTATGAAGGTACGAATGGATGGATTAACCGGCCTCGGGGGGGGTAGGGTAACCTGGACTACTCAGGATGTTCTATACCATGATCCCATCCTTCTTCGTCCTTTTATAGCTGAGGCGAAACAGCTCAACTCAATGAGATCGATCTCCATACGATTTGCCTTTCGATTATGTAAAGTTCTTTGTCTCACGTCTCTACTATCGTTTCAAGAGATACCAAACTTTCTTAAGGAGAAAACTTCAATAATGTTATGGGCTCAAGGGTTTGGCCGGGCGTAAATCCCAAGCAATATCTAGAACAGGTCACATGTCAACATGCTCAGCCGTCTTCTAAAGAATTGGGTCAGGATGTAGGATTTATTTGGGTCTCCTGGATAGTTATCGCTCGTTATCACGTCTAATGTCAGCAATACACTTGGGCCAAACTGTGTTGAACTGCTGGAGAGGTGATAATAAATGTAGGTGGGAAATCTGTCTCTCCACGTGAGCACAGAAGAAATGTCGTTGACATATATGAAGGACGAAAAATGGCGTAATGATGGCTCCTCAAGATACCTAAGACGCAGTCTTTCTCTAGCCTCAGAGCCCTCTACTTCCGTTCATAACCTTGTGTTGTGAGACTAATATTTCAACCAAGAAAATGGCGGTTTTGTGTAAACCACTTACCAGTGATCATTCTGTCTCACGTTATTATATCAGTGACGGCCGCATTGAAAATGCCCAGAGTTGTACGCCCTCCCTCAAGATTCCCGGAATTGAACATTTTTACCAAACGTTGTGTGGTTGCAATGCGATGGTTAAATGAAATTTAGTAAAACCCAAGCGAACTTTATGGAACTAATGAAGTTTTATTAAATTTTTGCCAATTTGTAACGCCAATTGCACACCACGAGAAATCAGTGGATGTTTATAATATGGACGTACAATTGGGAACGAGGTTTCGATAGAAATATTGCAATCTATGCCAACCTTTTGGTTCCTTCAACGAAGCAGTAACCAGTTGTTGTTTTACTATTTTGACCTCCTCTTAAAGTTACATGATCTCAAGAAGGTTTGCGCTTGTCGCTCGGTTTTTCTGTACCGTTACAGATATTAGATATTATCTAATTGGCTGTAGTTTATAGACTGGAACGCACTAATAATGTCAGCCTGGTAGATATTTGTGGATTTGTGTTTCTTGTGATTTCAGTATATTTGTCTGGGAGAAGTCAGGATTCTCGATACTACCACCTACACATTACGAGGAAGGAGATTGGTTGTTGAAATGTTGATATAATGAAGTCGTTCTTTGAGTGCTAAGGATAATGAATTTTTCAAACCAAACAATCGATTCAATTAATTGGTAGTGCGTGTGCGAATGGAATTAAATAAATCTAAGTGAAAACGGGGATGATAATAATTGGGATGAGAAGTGCTTACTGACATGTGGTAACGATAAAGGTGTCAAATTTTATGACTTGCAACAGAGTCAGCCTGTCGAAGATGGGTATGGCGATCCGTAATTTAATACGTGTTTGTTAAATTTTCTCTGAAAACTGTCAACTGGTGAGGATGTGGTCACTTGGACTGGAAGAGCATTATAAATGTGCGCAACTTCCAGTGAGAAAAAGTGAGATCATACTCGGGCGTTCGCTTTTAGACGTGCAGTTTTGATGCTGGAATTTACACTAACCAGCTTTTTGCTGAAAGCCACACATGGTCTTCATTTAAAAGAAACTACATCAGTGGTTGTAGTAGGTTTTTGATCAGATAACTTAACGAAACTGTTTGTGAGCGAAGTTACAATTTCAAACACACAAATCTTTCAATAATTATAATATGATAGCAGAGAATATAATCTATGTTGGAAATAAAGATGTTGACATACGCTTGATCTGTAATGTTTCGACATTACCACGATATCTTCGGTTAAACGTTCACCACCTGTCTTAGTCAGTCAGTCAGCTACAACGTAGGACCAGGCACATATATGCACCGGCCCAAGCTGTCATACCACATTAGCACAACAAGATGAAGAACACCAAATTCATAGGAGTAGTTACTTCAACGGTAGAAATGTATAACAGAAATACCGCACACAAGGATATAATACAGGAAGAAAATATTATTTCGTAGAAAGAAAAATGCGGAGCAATTTTAATATCATGGTTTAAGGGAAGACAAATAGTGTATACACCAACGCCATTGTGAAAGATTCTCAGCCATGTCGCCCAGGGCCTCCAACCATTTGTCATGATAGTCACGCGGACCCCAACCAAGTAGTCTGCATCTACCAACATGGCTCAGACTAGAAGTTAGTGACTATAGGCTGATGCTACGTTTTGGTTCGGCCGCCTCTCAGGACGAATCAGACTTCCAAGATAAGCGAAGTTGTCGACGCGTTCGATTACTTCACTCTCTATCCTGAGTTCAGGTGTTGACGCAGGCCAGTCCTGAAGCAACGATTTCCATTTAGAAGGGAAGAAACGCATCCCAAACATCCTGGCATTGTTACTCAGTGTTACCAAAACACTCTGCATTTTACCGGTGTCCTCACCGACCATATCATCTGCGTATTCTAAATCAACAGGTGAACCTCCTGGTAGCAGATAAATTACCGGAAATTCAGCCGATGAAAACGTTATTTCTAGCAGTAGGTTTATGATGAAATTGAACTAAATGGACATAGTGGACAGCCTTGCTGGACACCACCTGTGGCTGCAAAATCAGATGACAGTTCGCCATAAGCTCTAACTCGACTGATAGTGTTCGAGTAAAGAGCCCTTACAAGGTACACCTTTCAATGACAGACACTAGTATTAGATCGTATATACTATACGTTATTATATCAAACATGAAACCCAAAAATGTTCAACAAATCGATTATACTCTAATTATCACTCGGAAAATGGTTGGTAATTTAACAAAGTCATCCTGAAATTCTAAGCTTTTATTGTCTGCGTTGTGACTTACTTCCATGACAACACGTAAGGAAGTCCATATCTCTGTTCGGAACTATTATTCATGACTAATGGATAAAATCCAACGGTGACTACTTCATTATGCAGATCAAAGTAGGTGGAGTACATAAGTGTTCACAAACCAAAAGTTATGAGTTGATTTCATAAACAATTACATCACATGTCAAATAATTAAGCAATAAATTATAAATAGAACAAGCAACTAAAGCGGACCCCAACCAAGTAGTCTGCGTCTACCAACATGGCTCATACTAGCAGTTAGTGACTTCAAGGACTGATGCCGCGCTTCGGCCACACTTAACTTTCTTCCGTCCTTCTCCAACACTACTCAGCATTGCGCGTCGTGGTAATCGGTGTTTAGACATACGTATCAAGTGGCTCAGCCATTTCAGTCGGTGGAGATTTACAACCCCATCAACAGATCCACCATCATTACCGAATACCCTGTGTCTAACATCACTACCTAACTAAAGACGTTAGCAACCTCCGGAAGTTTGTCTCAAAGATCTTGGTGATGACGCTATAGTATAATGCTGGTTTCGTGGGGCTTTACGAAACTTAAATGTTTTATGTCATCATCTACTCATCTCATATACTTCTTAAGTTGAATAAAAACAATCTTATGTATTGAAACCTGAACCCATCTTCCTAATTTGTTTATGGGATTTGTGTCCATTTTGAAGACAGAAGGCGCAACGGCAATATGGATTTCAAAGAATGGCCGTGTGCACGTTTCAAAAAGTTGAAAAACTATGATATGATTTTGCCAAGTTATCTACGCGTTAAGTGGAAAATTACATTTGCCTTGACTTCGTTGCTCATGTTTTTTGGGCTGAGATCTAAGCTCTTCATAGTGAAAAGAAGGAGATCGCAGTCCACATGGGCCATCATCAGCGGATTTCCATAGAAGCTGCAAGTGCGTTTTGCAAACTGAAGCAGAATGTTCTTGAATCGATATTTCGACAAATGAAGTATAAGCTCTCTGTTAATTGCTCATCCTTCTATTGTTATAAGGTCCTTTATACTGTCCATACCACCCGTCTCAACAAAAAAATCATGGAGTAAATGAGTGGAAGAGTGCAATCACTTCTGAGTATAGAAAGCACATTTGAAAATAAAGGTTAGAATATTGATTGTTCATTAAATTTACCTGTCCTATTAACACCTGAATTTCAATGTTAAGAAATACCGTTGGTAGAGCAAACAGTAGTCCTACACACATTGGTGGAGTTTCGTTCTCCGAGCTGGTTGGTTCAGTCGTGAAGTTTTCATAGTTCTTCTCCGCCATTCCAGTTTGGGGACGTTGAGTGTATTGCCTTAAGTGATCCAAGTTGGGATATTTGGATAGTTCTACGGATATAATTATTATCTAATTATCTTAGTCTAACTATCCATGTGATTGTAACGACC